CCTATAAGGAATATATATTCTTGATCAGTAAAATAAGCTGAGTCGATTTCCGTTTGTCTTTCTATAATTTAAAACAAAATGTGTATTAAGACGCTTTTACCACGCCACCAACGAATCGCCTTTCTATGCGATTTTTATAAATTCATCCAAGTCAAAGAGATTTTCACATATTTCAATAAAATTGTATAAGAAGCGTTCGTAGCTTTTCAGCTGGCCATGTCAATATCTCTATATAAAAAACTATTTGTCTTGTCTGACTAGCTATATAGACATAGGTCGATATTTCCCACTCCCATAACTCGGTGAAATCTCATCAGATTTTCATGAGGTTTGGCTCTTTGTTAGTGGCCTGGCCTCTAAATCAATTTGGCATCTAAATCTGGCAGCAGTATTCATGGTTAAAATTCATTTACAAATGGTACGGGCAAGGCCCGCTAGTTATTTATAATAATAAAAGCATTTTGCCCTAAGGCATATAAGTATTATATATGTGTGTGTGTTTGTGTGGGTGTTTGTATGTGTGTGTGTGTGTGTGTGGGCGTGTGTGTGTTTGTGTGTGCATGCATTTATGCATATATGCATGCATGCATGCATGCATGTTTGTTTTCTAATATCAAACGCAGGCCAAGCATATTTCTACCAAGTGCTCTCCTCCTCGATTCTCAAGAATTCAAGTAGGCTCTGCAGTTTTTCGTGCTTTGCCAGCAGCGTAGTGGTTTTTTTTTGTGTGGTTTTTTGTGGTGTTTTCTGTGTGTATGCATGTATGCATGTTTGTACGTATGTATGTACATATGTATGTATGTATGTACATATGTACGTATGTGTGTACATATGTATGTATGTGTGTATGTATGTATGTGTGTATGTACATATGTACGTATGTATGTACGTATGTGTGTAGATATGTATGTATCTGTGTATGTATGTATTCCGGCATGTATGCATACATGTACGCATGCATGCATGTTTGCATACATACAAAACAAACATGCATACTTGTATAACAGGCATACATATACATATATGCAAGCTTAAGACTTATCGCAATTTCCACCGTGGCTGCTTGGATTCTGCGGAAAGAGTGAAACACGTCGTAAATGATTTTCGTATATATCTTTGAAAATAGATTGGAATTTCGTCTTAACGTGCACCTTTATCACATATGGTAACTACAGTGAGTCAGTTAGTCAGCCAGGACAAACAGTTTAATATATTGAGATGAATATTAATAATTGTAATTTAAGTAAATGTTTATTTTCTGGTCTACTAGAGCAGTGTGTTTGTTAGAATATATACTTCTAGCAGACGGGATAACTCCTAGTCGAGGCCCCACACTTAAACTTGTTTTTAATCTCGCATTTCTTTCATTTCTCGGCAGCGATGTTGGCTTCATTGAGCAATGCACGCGACGCTTTGAGTCCGGCACGCCCTCGCCCATGCCGCCCGCGTACAGCTCCGGGCAGCACAGTCCCCTGCTGCTGCCCACAACCATAGCGGATGCAGTGGGCCAGCCGGAGAGCGGCAGCGATTTGATAACCATGCGCCTGCTGGCCGATGAGCAGGGCCGCTACGGCTTCAATGTGAAGGGCGGCGTGGATCTCAGTCTGCCCGTGCAGGTGTCCAAGGTGGTGCCGCACACGCCCGCCGATCGCTGCACGCCGCGTGTTTGCGAGGGTGACGAGGTGCTCATGATCAACGGGCGCGATGTGCACGGCCTGCGGCACGAGCAGGTGGTGGCCATGATACGCGACTGCCGGCACCAGTCAAGCGGCGAGCTGCTGCTGACGGTGCGTCCCAAGCGTTCGGCGCCGCTGCTGATGGAGGAGGAGCCGCTGTACCAGTATGTGCCCGAGTCTGACGAGATTGGCTCGCACTCGAATCTGCTCGACGGCGATGCGCTCTTCACCCAGAGCCTGCTGTTGCTCAGCGATGGTCTCGCCTCGGGCGCCCTGCTCGCCCAGTACGAGCTCATGTATCGCAAGAATCCCGATCTGGCCATTACGGAAGCACGCAAGGCTGCGAATGCGCCCAAGAATCGCTATAGGGACATTTCGCCCTGTAAGTACAAGTCACAGACCCCTTGGGAAAACTCTGTTAAATCTTTCCTTATATTTCCAGATGACTGCACTCGCGTCTCGTTGGTCAACTCCTTGACCGGGGACTATATCAATGCCAACTATGTGAACATGGAGATACCCGGAGGCGGCGTCAATCGGTATATTGCCACACAGGGCCCGCTGGCCAGCACCACAACGGACTTTTGGCGCATGGTGCAGCAGGAGAGCAGCCATTTGCTGGTGATGCTGACCACCGTGATGGAGGCGGGACGTCAGAAGTGCCACCAATACTGGCCCGTGACGGGCGATGAGCTGCAGCTGGGCGATGGATTTTCGGTGCGCTGCCTCAGCGAGAAACCGGACGAGACGGGCAGCTTTGTCTTCCGTGAGTTTGTGCTGCGGGATAAGCACGAGCAGCGGCACATTCATCACATGCAATATCTCGCCTGGCCCGACCACTGTGTACCCTCCGATCCCAATCTGTTTCTGGAGTTTACGGAACGCGTCCGCGCCGCACGCAATCGCACCCTGCTCCAGGAGATCGAGGAGAGCCTGAAGCAGGTGCGCCTGCTCGACGCCGATGCGGATGAGAATGGCGGCCTGATGAGCGAGCGCAAGTGCGCGGCCAGCAACGGCGCCACGCCCGAGGACGAAACGCCCGTGTCCACCAGCGTGCATCAGTAAGTTATTATATATATGGAGTTTATGTAGGAGCAGGGCTTAATTCAATTTGTATCAACCCTTCCAGATGCATCAGCGCTGCCAATCCGCCCGTGATTGTGCACTGCTCGGCGGGCATTGGACGCACCGGCGTGCTCATACTAATGGACACGGCTCTGGCGCTGATGGAGGCGCGCGAGCCCGTCTATCCGCTGGACATTGTGCGCACCATGCGCGACCAACGCGCCTGCATGGTACAGAATGTGGTAAGTGTATATGGTAGCCATTCATGACTGGTTAATCTTTAGCTCAATATTCTCTAAATCCCTTTCAGAGTCAATATCGCTTTGTATGTGAATGCATTTGCGCGGCCTACATGAAGATATCGCGCAGCAGCGCGGCCATCAACGATGATGACGATTAGAGCCGGACCCCTGCCCTTTCCAAGTTCTACTAGCGGACAATCTAAATACAAATCTTCCTCCCTATATCCCGTCTTGCAAGACGCTTATGATTCTTCTCAATCTTTACTATATGCATATATATTATACTATACACTTATGGAATCAATCTTATTGTTAGTTAACCCCCCGTAGACATACATACATACATGCCCATTAGTATCTATGCTCTATATCATTACGTTTATTATTATCATTATTGTGTCTATATAATTATATATATAGTGTGTGTGTATGTATGTATCATTCTTGTATTGCATAATCAACTCTGTATAACACATAAATATGGGCAATAATCCACGCAAGTGCTGCTGAAAATCTCGTAAGAAAACCAATTCTAAATTTTACAAAAAAAAAGAAAACAACACAAAATGAGAACAAAACTACCTAATTCAAGTATACAAAAGAAAAGCGTTAAGCGTATTAAAGAAATTGCATATTTATATACCCATCGCCCAAGGTGGAAATTACAGAGAATATATCTATAAACAATAACTAATAACAAAAACAAATGAGAAGTAAAAACTGTTAGTATTTTAGCACCAAATTAAATTCGTATACATATATGTATTTATGCTGAAAATCAGAGCTAAATAAATATTATTAAACAAATGTAACAATAGTTAAGGTAATAGTTAATTAGGAACCTGTTGACATGAGCAATTGGCACTTATCAAAATTATATGGACGAAGTCTAAAAACATACTTAGATGACCAGGAAAAACTATTCCTTGAAGATCTAGAGCAGACTCCCGAACTTGATATTGAAATAGCTCGCTCGGCCTTACAGTGGAGGCTAAGCAACTTTCTAGGAGACCTGTCCAGCCAGTCATAAAAAGTCTAGTTACTACTAGAGGGCACAGCTCTGCCACATCGTCAAGATGAATACAAGATTACCTTTTGATATACTATCCGCCACATAACTATCAAGGAATTTCAACGCAAAATTAACCAAGTATAATAGCTTATATACTTATAATACCATATGATGAACTAGCACGTACAAGCAGGCTCGGTCCAATTTATTTTCTTGAAATTTTACTATATAGCTATTCACCCATTTTCCATCCGTACCTGTCGATTTTTCAAAATCAGTGAACTACGTCTTGAATTAATTTTAGTTAAATGTTTGATGGATTCAAGTTTTTCCAGCCATATTTCAAACGTGGATTTGATTGCTAAGTTTAATATAGGATTTATTCTATCAAGAAACAAAAACGTGCGGCTTCAGGGACTGACCTGGTTTATTTGTTGACCTGATAATCTAACCCATTTACCCACCCGCCTACCTTTCCCCAAGAACTGAAGCCCAGCAAGCTTTGATATCCTTTTCCAAATGAAGCTCTTAAATTTTCTGTATAAAAATTACTTAATATACAAAATATCACCTAAATCTTCTGTAAAATAAAACAGAAAAAAAAATGGAAACTTGTAACAAAAATGGATCCATAACCGATGAGCTGGAAGTGGAGGAAACCGAAGATTTCCATGACCTGGAGGAGTTCAACGAGGACCATATAGCGTCCGGCAGCGGCGGCCAGAAGAAAGCGGAACGTTTCGTTGTCAAAAAGTGGGTGGCGCATGCGCATTGGTCATGGGATGTGGCCGTGGACAATTGCGCCATTTGCCGGAATCACATCATGAATCTGTGCATCGAATGCCAGGCTGATCCGAATGCCAACAAGGATGAGTGCACCGTCGCCTGGGGCGAATGCAATCACGCCTTCCATTACCATTGCATAGCGCGCTGGCTAAAGACGCGTCACGTCTGCCCGCTGGACAACAAGGAGTGGGTCTACCAAAAATATGGCCACTAGGCTGATTAATTAACGTATTTGTATTTATGCTTGTTTGGGAAAAATTAAAATTCTAGTGATTAAGACTAGGCCTGCAACTGCGTCTCCTGGTCCACGCCGAGCAGCTGCTGTGCGTTTGGTCGCACGCCCGTAATTAGCTCCAGTTGGTTGAAGAGCGTATCGCGCTGCTCGGCCAGGTTGGCGTACTTCTGCTGCAGCTCCTTTTCGCGCTCCATTTGCCGGCGCACATCCTCCTGCAGCGCCTCGAGGCGTCGCGGCACAGCAATCGCCTCCTGCTCGCCCAAGAAACGAAATGTGGACAGCGACTGGGAGTTCTGCTCGATCTGTGTGTAGGTGTCCTGCAGCTGTTTGATCAGCACCTGGGCGCGCGCCTGATAGCCACCGGTGAGTATTTTCAGCTTCTTCTCAATCTTGCCGCAGCGCTTAGCCTCCTTGGCCATGTGACGCCGATTCTGTTCCAAACGCTTCTCCGCCGACTCCAGGCGATCCTTTTTGCTGGCCAGATTGGCGCGCGTGTAACGATGCTGCGAGGGCAGATAGAGCACCTGGCCGAGGCACTCCTGCCACACCTGCGCGTAAACATCTAGCGGCAGCTCGCCGTGGGACATGCGCTCCTTCACAACCTCCATTTCGTCGGCTAGCATTTGTTTGGCATCGGCCAGCTCCTCCTGCGATATCTCCTCATACGGATTGGCCTTGAAGTAGCTCTGCAGCTGTTCCAGCTTGTGCTGCGACTGACCCGGCACCGGATCCCGCACAGAGTCATAAACTGAAAGAGGAAACGGTTTGAGGTGGATAATTTCTCGATGGGATTATCACACTACTCACGCTGCATGGTGATCATCTCGTGCTTGATCAGCTCCTCGGCCTGCTGCTGTTCGGTTAGGTTCTGCTTCTCGGACTGCGGCCGCAGGATCTTGGTGTTCACCTCGGTGGGACGGGGCAGGCTGCGCTGTATGACCTGCGAGCGTTTGGCCAGCTCGCGCTGGCGCTGCGCCTCCTGCTCTGCAAGCAGGCGTGCGTCCACATCCGCCTGATCCTCTATGGCAGGCTCAGTGCCCGTCTCCATGGGCTCGCTGTCCTCCTGCTCCGGCACCACAATCTCGTAATCGTTGCGTGGCGTTGGCAGCGTGGCCAGACCCTCGCGCAGCGTTGACTTCACCTGCTTCTGGTAGTTCTTGAAGAGCGCTGGGGTTTCCGTAACGCCCATGTTCTCCTCCGGATTGATGCTAAGCTTGTCGCGCACGAGAGCAGGCGTTCCGGTGCCACCAGCTGTGCCGGTCTTCAGCACGGGTAGCAAGGCGCCCGAGGCGGGCGTTAGGAAGCCCGCTGGCGTTGCGGCGCCCCCGCCCTCACGCTGTGTGCGAAAAGGCGTGGCAATGACCGTGTTCGGCGTGGTAATGGCCGCCGCTTTGGGCAGCACGCCCGAGAAGTCCGATTCGTGCAGTGGAGTATTGAGGCCTCCTTTGAGCGGTGTCTCAGTGTGGGTAAGCGCCATCATGTTCTGTGCCTCCTGCATAATGCGATCCGTGTAGGGCGCTGGAGTGCGAGGCGTGGCCGCCACTTGGGGCGTAATGGAATAATCGGCCAGCAGTGCATCCGTTGTTTCGATGCCGCTCTCACCGGCTATTTCCTTGGCCATCTCACTGGCGCGGCCCAGCTTGACCACCTGCTGCAGCTCCATATCGGAAATTTGCGGCGTGGGCAACACCAACTTGGAACGCTTACGCTCCGGCTCCAGGTTTTGCATCATGGCCGACGGCACCTCGTTCTCCTTGCGCTGTTTCAGCTTCTGCTTGTCGCGTTTGCGCTCACGCTCCTCCTTCTCGGAGCGCAGCTCACCATCCAGATCCTGTTGGCGCATCTTGTTGAAGTCCGGATCCTGCTTCTGCAGATGCTCCTCGGATGTGTCATAGAAGCCAATCGCCGGTCGCTTCTCAAAAGGTATTTCTGCATTGTAGTCGATGCCTTTAATGCGCTTCCGATTGCCGCTGCCAATACCGGCGGCACGTAGCTCGCGACGCTTCTGCAGCGTGGCCAGGCGACGTGCCTCCTCCAGCTGCTTTTCGCGCGCCTTGCGCTTGGCCTTCTTGCCCTGTGTGTTGGCCAGACGGGCGCGTGCCTCGGACAGCATCTCCAGCTCGTCCTCGTCCATGTCTTTGGGATCGGGCCGGGCGGGCTTTGTCTCTGGATTGGGATCAATTTCACCAGGCTTTAGTTTGCGTGGGTCGTCCATGGTGTCTTCACCATCCTCCTTGCGCTGCGCCTGGTCACTGGGATAAATACATAAAAAAACACCGATATAAAAACTGAATCACAGAAACATTTTGCACTTACAGCAGATATTCGTAGCGTTCCAGGCACTGTGCTGCAGTGCGTCCAATGATGGGCGCGATGGTGCGCCACTGCGTCGGCATCAGCTTGGCCAGATGCAGGAGCTTCTCGTCCTCCTCGCGCGACCATTCGGTCTTCTTGATGCTCGGATCGAGCCATTCGTACCAACGTGCTTTACACTGTTTGGCCGACTTGCGATGCAGCAGCGAGGCAATACGACTCCATTGATTTTTGCCATATTTCATGACAGCCGCTTTGAGAATTTCATCCTGAAAAGAGAGCAGAGCGTGGTTTTGACTTAAAAGGTAACGTTTAATTTCACAATTTTGACTTACCTCTGTATTGCGCCAAACGCCGCCTTTAATCATAATACGCGGCATTTTGTCGTCCTGTTTAAATTTTTTCTAACGCTCTAAAAATTGAAAACCATAAAAATTATTCTGCAAACTTTGCGCTGTCGGCGGCCGCTAGAGATGCGAAAAATATATTTCATATTTACAATCGATTGTTGCACTGCGAACTAGAAGTAAACGATATTTTTCGAGTTATGTGAAAATACTGAATTTTTCCTGAACTACTTAGTTCGATAATTGTTAGGCTGTGCAGAATCTCATAAAGTCGATCTACCTCTGACGTCATTATTGACCATATCTGAATCATTTAATTTTGAATTATAAAAAACATAAAGGAAAGAAATTAATTAAAAATTATAAGAATATTATAGCTCAATAGCCCTTAACACTAATAAAATTATGAAACATTTCTAACGCAAAAACATTGACATAAACGCAAGGTGAGCATAATGCCAGACATATGGAGCTATAAAAACTAGAGCTAATGCATCGCTCTTATATTTCTAACAAATCGATAACAGCGTAATCTTGTAGAGTTGATTACTCTTAGTGATGACAGCAGTATTTATCGGTGTCGTGGTATTTTTTTTTCTGCTGACTTTCGATAGACTTAAATGGGTATATCGATGCGCTGCAATTGTTTTTGTTTTTGCAGTTGTTGTTATCAGATGTTTTGATATGATATCAGATCAGCTACTGCCACAGCCTTTTCCAAGCGAAATGTAATGCGAAGTTAGCGAAAATGCAATTATAAACAATTCCAATTCCGAATGCATTGCAACATGACCGATGCGGATGTGGCCTTCTCGAGCTTCTACGGCACCGTGGGCAGCCAGGTGAGCACTTTGCCAGTTGTTTCTTGTTGCAAGTGTGTGTGTGTGTGTTCGTGTGTGAGTGTTAGTTGATCTCGCCATGCGTCCGTTGTTGTTGTTGTTTTGCTGCAGCTACAGCACGCCGAGCTGTCGCTGTCAACGCCCATACACGCCCTGGAGCACGACAATTTCACCGGCTTATTCGATGACGACCCCTCCGCTCTGCTAAGCATTCCACTGACAACGACAACAGCCGCCGCGACGACGCACAAGAGCACCACTGGAATCGGCGAGGCCAGCTGCATACCCTTTGTGCAGATACACACAACCGATCTGCAGCAGCAGCCCGAGTCGAGCCGCAGCTATCGCAATGGCTTTCGACGCAAGACGGCCGAGATCAAGTCGGAGGCGGAGCTCATCAAATCGGAGCTAGCCGAGGCGGCTGCCAAGGATCGCAGCAATGCCACGCCTACGCCGCCCACGGCCAAGACAATTGCCAGCGAGAGTTGCGCGGATTTGCCGCTGAACAAGTGTCCGAGCTGCCCGTTCCTTAGCCTCAGTCAACTGAAGACCCAAACGCACATCAGCAGCTGCTTTGGCATCGATGCACAGCGCCGCCTTCAGTGTCCAGGTAAGTGTGCCAATAAGTTCCCACCTCTGCAACTAATAGCCCTTTATCATTTATCCGTGCAGGCTGCGCGAATATATTCTACAACGTGGACGTGCTCAATTTGCATCTCAGCGCTGATCATCGGCTGGAGCCGCGCGAGATTTCCACGCTGCTGCTCAAGTTGACAGACAAAACCGGCGATCCGTCTGCCAAGAAGCCACATCAGGCGCAGGCACAGACTCAGCAGCTGCCGCCGAAAAGCCGCATTTTCATCAAGAACGTGGACTGCCTGCGGGAGCCGCATCGCGAGCCGGATGTGAATCAACTGCCAGACTTTTTGCCGTTGTTGACGTCGTCGTCAGATGGCAATATTTTAGATCTGCTCGATGATGTGGACGACGCTGACGATTGCGCCAATCAGCAGCAACAGCAGGAGCTACAACAAATTGCGCCAATCGTCCAAAAGCCGGCCGTACAAAAGATATCCATCAAAAGCGTCGATGTGCTGCGGGAGCCGGCGCTGCTGCCCTTTGATTTTCCAATGCCCAGCGCTGGAACGGAACAGCTGCCGTCGCTGCCCGCGCTGATGATGAGCAACAATATGGTGATCGGTGCGGAGGCGGATAAGCCGCGCCAGCCCAAGATCTATATACGCAATGTGGACATATTGAAGGAGCCGATGCTGCTGCCCGGCATGGGCTTCAGCGGTGCGCCCGCCTCGACTGTGCCCAGTCCGTCTGAGGTCTTTAATGCCGAAACCCTGCTAACGCCCACGGGTCCGGTTGTTCCGTTGCCCGGCTTTGAGCCGGCCCTGGCGCCGCTGGCCAGCATGTGCAGCGAGGCGTTCAATTTTGACTCTGTGCTGAGCGGTGCAGGCACCGCCAGCAGCAGCAGCCACAACTTTAGCGCTCTGGATCTGGACTTCGGCGTGGACTTTGAGCAAAGCGTGCAGCTGGTAACGGAGCCCACACCGCCGCCAACCCAAGAGCAGCATTTGCTAGCCAGCGAGCAGCTGGCGGAGCTAGGACCAATGCCAACGGCAGACGAGCTTAACACGCAGCTGAACAACTATTTGCCCGTGGCGGCAGCTGCGGCCAGCATAGCAGCAACCACGACGACGACGAGCACGACCAAGCAGAAGATCTTCATCAAGAACGTGGACATACTGAAGGCGCCGCAGCGTGGCACGCTGCATTTGCGCACCGTGGACGAGCTGAATCTGATGAACCGCAACGAGGTGGAGCATCTGATTGTGCCCAATCGTGAACTGGAGCTGCCGCCTAATCCAGCTGCCGTCACGCTGGAGCCGTCGCTGGTTGATTTCCCACAGCAGCAGCCGCCGCCGCCGCCAGCACCGTTGAGCTATGATGATAACTACGATCTGGCCGAGGATCTAGAGGGCTGGCCCTGGATAGATGAGGCGGGCATAGCAGCCACCGAAGCGGATCAGGAGGCCGCACAGCTGGAGCTGCCGCACAATGCCGAGGATATTCTAATAAAAGATTTTCCACAGCTTTATGCGCAGCAGCCGCCCAGCTCGGGCAGTGTGCCGCCCCTGGTCCCTGTCACTGGCTCACCCGATGCGGCAGCGAGTCCTGCTGCGCCTGCAGATAATCTCTGCGGTCTGCCTGTGCCGCCGTTGGTGCCGCTAGCTGGCGAGCCCACGGCCGCGCCTGCGCCCACTCAAACTGGCACCGACAAGCCGGCTCGCATCTATGTGGCCAACAATTTGCTGCCCGCTGCTGTGGAGCAGCAGCCTTTGGCTGGCGGCACCTCGGTGCGCGGCCGTCCCTATGGCGCCAAGCAGGCGGGCCAGGCCAAGCGGCGGCCGGCACAGGGCACAGCTCAGCCGCTCGAGGGCGGCAAATGCACTGTGGAGGGCTGCATGTTCCGGTTCAAGTCGCCGGCGACGCTGGAGTACCATGGCCGTTGTCATAATGGCGCACTCGGCTCGGCGCAGCCGATGATCTGTCCGGAGTGCAGGTCGACGCAGTTCAGCAATTGGAACTGCCTGCACACGCATCTCTGGCGCACACACGCCATCGACATGGAGCTCTACTGCTGCCAGCTGTGCAGCTTCAAGACGCCCATCTATTCGCGCCTGGTGAACACCCATGCCAAGATCCATTCCGAGGAGCGCAACTACAAGTGCGAGCAGTGCGGCAAGGGCTTCAAGAACACCAAACAGCTGAAGAACCATCGACGGCTGCATCGCACCCAGGGCCTGGGCATGGCCAAGCCGTGCCTCAGCGAACAGCAGACGATTCCAATGCTTCCGGTGCTCCATCGCTGCGAGGACTGCGGCGCCGCCTTCAAGCATCGCAAGACTCTGCGCGAGCATCTGTGCAAGCAGCGCAACGAGCAGCCGCAATGCCCCACCTGCCAGGTACGCGCTAGGTTGTAATAATCGAATCTGATTGACTGACTGACTGACTGATTGATGGTTAACTCAGAGCCCAAACCGGATGTAAGCATGATTTTCACCACAAGTGTGAAATATGGGTGAAAAACATCCGACACATCTCAGAAATATTTCACGCTTTTCGTAATACCCAGGGTTTTGGCGAATTCCACTTACAAGTGTGGAAAATAAGCGGAAAACGCATTTATGAACTTTTATTGGTTTTAAAAGCGATTCTCTTCAGACTTATTTTTAAAGATCCTTGTGATAAATTTTTGTAGACATATTTTCCGCCTCTTGTAGTATCCACATTTTGCCGAATTCCACCCGCAAATGCGGAAAATTGTTGTAAAACGCTTTAATGAATCTTTTTTGGTTTTACATCCGATTCACTTAAAACTTATTTTCAAAGATCCTTGTGAAAAATTCACTGCATACGTGTTTCACGCTTTTCGTTAATCCTATCCAATCCGTATGGGCGAAACTTATATATTTGTCCGTTGATGAATACTTGTTTCATCGAATTTGAATAAAACAAATCAGGTGCGAAAAATGGGCGAAAATCTGGAAACTGAATAAACTGAATGGAACCTTTATATATTCATTCAAACCTCTTCAGACTCTTCTCTAAATCTCTGTAAAAATACTTTTTGTTGGATAAACATTTTCTTATTTATTTAATCGTTATGCTTGCAGCGCGTCTTCAGCTCCAAGAGCAGCCTGAAGCTGCACATGCGCAGCCACCAGGCGAACAAGCGCTTCAAGTGCGAGAAGTGCGAGCACGAGGCGAACGACCACAACGCCTTTCGGCGTCATCTTGCCACACATCGGGAGGCCAAACGCTATGCGTGTCCGCATTGCGATTTCCGCGCCATACAGAGCACCGCCTATCGGGTAGGTCCATAATCGAACACTCGAGTTGTATAGCTATATATATAAATTGCTTGCCCTTGCAGATACATCTGCAGAAAGTGCATCCGGAGCTGGAGCTGTCTACCATCATATACAAATGCAATGTGTGCAAATTTTCCAGCGTCAATCACGGCCTGCTGCTGGTCCATCAGGCCAAATATCATGCTGCGCCAGTCGAGCCCACAAAGATCAAAGTGAAAAGCAGCCTCCTGCTAGCACATTCCACAACAAGTGGCAAGCAGCCAGACTTGCCAAATAACGCTCAAAATGTCTAGGCATATCATATATGTCTGCTAAGAATCAGATCAGACATATATAAGTTTTTTTTTTACCAAAGCAACACACAAAGTGCTGGCGCCGCGGGTTGGTCACAAGCTGAGTGTAGCTTATAGAACTTTTTATACCAAACCTATATATATATATATCAGTTATATATATATACAATATACTGACCAATGTTAGTTATGTCCAAAAATTTTTTAAATCTTTTCAAACGAAGCGATCTATGCTTGCAAGCTGTTCATGTTGACTCTAAAACAAAACAAACAATATTTTATTGCCAATAAAGTTTGCAAAGATTCAATTGGCTTCGGAGTGCCTCGAAGATTGTACGTTTTTATACTATATAAGATATAGAAATATACGAATGTGAACATCTTTTAAGTTAACTCTCACAGCAATTGCCATTTATAATTGCAAAGTGTAAATATGTGGATTCTTAAATGTATATAACTTGGTGTTGTTATTGTAAATATGTATATCAAAAGAACTAAAAAAAAACGAAAATCCTTTTAAAATTTTATACAAATTGTTACAAAATTTTAAACAACTTAATAACTAAGCGAGTTTTTACCAAAATATAAATATAAATACAATGAGAATTTAAAGATATCTTCGGCACGCCGAAGTTTTAATGCACTTGTAGACTTTTTGCCTCTTGATGATATTTTCTATATGATAAAGTGGTCCGATGCTGATAAGATTTTGCATTTATATGAGGAGCATAGTGGAAATATCAAAATATCTTAATCAAAGTTTTTCAAAACATAAACTACTTTTAGACTGATTGTTCCTATAATATATTAATCCGTTCCATTCCGATTCCAGCATATGTACTGCCTGCAACGGAAAGACGGACCTATGCGAAGTTTCAGGAAGATAAATTTTAAAATGTGAGAAGTTCGCATAGAAACAGACAGACAGAAGCTGATCTCGAGTATATATACGTTATGGTGTCGGAGATAACTCCTTCTATGCGTAACAAATGCCATGGAAAAATAATAATACTCTCTTCGATTTAATCTCTTGACTGCACAAGAATGAAAAACCAAAGAGTGCGGGGTTATTAGACTTCAAGAATTTCTAAAAAGTGGTAAGCCTTGTAGACATACGGCCCTTAAGTGCTTAATTCCAGATCGATTACTCTCGCATTAAATATACTCGACCGATTTGCGGGGTTCTGTGTGCAATTCAATTCAGCATCACTTTGCAGTAAAAAATATCCTAGCATATTTCACATAAAGAGTACAAGTTATGAATATATGCTAATTTCGCACAGTGTAAAGATGTGTAATATGCGGCAAGAAATCGGAATAGAAATAGTTTATGCACCAAGACTCAATTTGCTAATAATTCCTCACATAGACTTATATGCTATACACATAAATTAGATAGTCCGATGTATATAGAAAGTCCAACTGAATAATTCAAAAAAATGTCATTTTGCATTCAAAAACTTAAGCTGCATTCTTATACCCTGTAACTCTAACCGGGTATCTTATAGTTAAGGTTTATAGATAGACTGCAGCATATATTTTTTGTAAAATCTACAAAATATCTGATTTATAAATCGTTTAAAGCCCGATCTTAAACCAAATGCATTCAAATACTGAATCGAATTACATTTGTTAAAATATTCGATTTACATTTCTATAAAAAGATTATTTATATTCTAAGCAAGTAATGCGATTCTTTGTCTGCAAGAGTTAAAGAGGAGAAGGAGGAGGAGAGTATAAGTTATAGAGTCTAGCAAAAATAACTCGCTGTGTGTTTCTGCTAATTTCTAGAAGTGTTAGTACAGGTCCTTTGAATATGAATTGAGTTGGAATACAAAGGACTTGTGCTAACACTGCGCGAAATCAACAGCAGAAGAAGTCAAATTTGTAACATTTTTCATTCATAATAAGCTATTATCTATACTCATAAATTAAAACTTACCTTTGGCGAAGATCGAAACCACAGATTTTGCATTTAATTGGATTGTACGGCAACTTAACGCAATCTACCACAAGATCTACTTCAATTAAACAAAATAGATGCTCAATTTATATGTTTATTTGTTTATTAAATTGATATAATTGAAGTCGATTGTGCAGAATACATTCTAAATATAGCCTAGTATATATGCTTAACAAACAATCACTTCGATCTGAAGTGCCCGACGGGAAGATACCCTGAACCTCGAGACGAAATACCTTTACGAACGATCCAGCTTCCCTTACATTCTATATATATATTATATTATACATATATGTATTATATTCTATATATATGTTATCGGGACAATGAACAAGACGATGATTAAATGTAATGTGCTAATAATCTGGCTTGATAGAAGAAGGTTCAGGGTATTCCCTAGTCAGACACTCCCGACACTCATCTGCATTTCTTTTGTAATTTAATCTAATTTATTTGCATAAAAATCGATGTGGAAGCAACTGTGAATACTTTGCGGAGACTTTCTGCGAATGCGTTTCAAAACTATTCTTAGTCGAACTGGCGGATAGTTCAAATCCAGAAACATGTGGCTGTCACTTGCGCTAACGTGCCTAATTCTAAAGATTGTAGCTGCCCAAATACCAGGATGCGATTACTTCGATACGGTGGACCTCTCGCATAGCCTGAAGCTGCCCAGCGGCTCGTATCAGTACAAATGGGTGGTCATACCGCCAGAGCAGACTGGTGAATATGACTTTCAGATACTGGTGGATGGAGAGAGGGAGGCAGTGCCCACGCACCTGAGAGGATGTGCTTGTCGACTGGGCACCTGTATTCGCTTCTGTTGCCATTGGCATCTCTTCTTCGTTGGGAAAGAACGCACGTGCACCGGAGATATAGTCAAGGCAATTGACTGGGATCCCTATGTAAACATTACTCTGGCCAATAGCACTCAGGTGACGAGGCACGTTCTAAATGACTTTATCGTGCAACCAGATCTGTCTGTACCCTGTTCGGATGATGATTTGAGGATTTGAGGTTTGATTTGCATCCATTGAAAGATCTTTCTTCTTATAAATCTAAGCAGTTTTAGAATGGAACACTTGTAGCTCAGTTCGAAAACAAATCGTTGGACAAACAGGAATATTGTTTTCAGCCCCTCTTGATAGGGTCTAATTTAAGTGTAGTGAGGATCTCATTGGTGCCGCAGCTTTGCGAGGTTCGAACAAATCTCTGGCCAGCTACTGCAAGTAAGTTTTTTAGGCGTCTTGGTCGAATGTTAACTTAGATTGATTCCTGCAGTGTGTGGGCTCCTGATATTACTGCTGATCTTGACTTTACTAATCTGCGTGCGGCTGACGAAACATCGCAATCTGCATGAAAACTGTGTGTTAAGCTCCTTTATTTGTTTCATCCTTGTATCCAGCCTGCTGCTCTATGACACTTGGAAAGAGAAGCCAACTCGATTTGCCTGCCAGCTGAATGGTATTTCCAATAGCATCCATTTTACCGACTATCGACTCATCATCTATGTCCCCTGCCCAGGTTATGTGGGCTATGTTGCCGCCATGGCGGGCTTCCTTTGGCTGACTGTCATCAGCCTTAATCTGTGGAACGGTCTGCGGGGCAAGAAGGTCAGCTTTATGGTCTACAGTCTGTATGTGTGGGGCATAGCTGCTCTCCTGACCGGAATTGTCATTTTAGTCGATAATATTTTGGATTCTGACAACGATCAACAATTAGCTTGGATGCCGGGAGTTTCCATTTACAATTGTTGGCTTAAAAGTAAGTTCACGTAGCAGAGACAAACTGAGTCGAAATTTCTAATAGATATTGCATGATCTCCCCCAGCTGACGACTGGTCTGCAATGCAGACCATAAATAGCGAGTTTGAACAAGATATCTTTATAAACAAAAAAGTTGTTCATACAAGAATCTACTTTTCGACCGATCGTTCCTATGGCAGGTATATGATATAGTGGTCCGATCTTAATAGGAATATATTTTAATATATATTTTATATTTATATATACATATATATTTTAGAACATATAATATATAATACTTACTTTGACATCACAAAAATTACATCAGTTTATAATTTTTTAATTAAAACAAAACCCATATTCTAAATAGATTTTGCTGAAATGCCCCCGAAGAATGTTACCATAAATATTACAGAGCTGACATGGCGTATGATTTTGTTCAATGGAAAAAACCCACCGTAAAAAAACAGCTGTGCACATGTGCAGCATAATGCAAACATATCGACCTTCATTCCATTTCATTAAATTAAATAAAGTCGTAAAGTCCTCCATTCAGAATTTAAATTTAGCTACCTTTCGTATGCATTGTCCGAAATCTGGAACAGCTGTCATTAAATCAATGAATTTTGGACATATTTCTGCCAGATCGATTTGCTATATAAGAGCTCATAATTTCAGTTGTAAATCAGTTCGAACTGAGCAGAGTTTAACAATCTTCAATCTTCAACATGAAATTCATTCTGATCTTGGCTTGCCTGGCGCTCTTTGTGGCTCACACTCAGGCCCAAAGAAGACCGACAAGACCCCCCACAAGACCTCCGACAAGGCCCCCCACAAGCAGTTGCCGTGGCGCCGTTCCAGGTAAGAAACTGTGAAAGTCCTTTATTAATATCCATATACTAATAATCCACTCTCATTCCACAGCTAACCGACAGGTTTGCCAGGGCCCTAAGAACGAAGGAAATTCCAATAGGCGCCAGTGCTCCAACAATGCCAATAGGGAGATGTGGTGGTACGACAGCAGCAGCGGATCCTGCAAGAAGTTGGCCTACAAGGGCTGCGGTGGCAACAACAATCGCTATTGCACTCGCGAAGCCTGCCAGGCCAAGTGCAGGCGGCGCACCTAGTAATGGTAACAAAAGTTTGAATCTCAAAGATGAATATTGAAATAAATTAACTGGAAATTGCATTATAAGTGAAAACGCCTTTTCGTGGTATAAATGTAAATTGTAAATAATTGTATTTAGGTCTTACTGTCTACTATGCACTTCGGGCAAGACGTCACGACATCCTTAAATTCAAGCCCATTTGTTCAGACTAAGTCCTGGATTTTTCACATTTTGAAAAGTATTTGAAAAGGTATTCCATGTGAGTATTACTTTAGCTTAAAACGAGAAAGTAAGGACATTTTCGGCAAGACGAACAGGTAATACTCTTGTATACATTTGTCTTACGATTTTGCAGATATGTGAGGATCGCGAACCTCCTAAATGCTGAGTTTAATAAAAATATCTTAGAAAACAGTATGTTTAGCATATATATATTTCGACATATAAGAAGCTCCTTTTCGACTGATCGTTCCTATAGCAGCTATATGATATAATGGTACGTTCTGTTCCGATTCCAACATACGTATGTTCAAGACGATAGCTTTAAGAGTGAGACACAGACAGACGCACGGACATGGTTATATCAAAGACAATATAAAAACTAAGATGATTTCGACGTTCGTTCGTCTGGCTTTTGGAGAGCGAAGAGCCAGTCTGCTGGCGTGTCGTTTGAGAAAAAGCCAGATGAAAAGCCAGGCTCAAAATTTTGCGTCACATTCAAATGTATAGGCGTTACTTATTAAACTCATTATATTGTCTTTGGTTATAACAACTGGGCTGTTGATGCTGATGTGGACTATCTATTCTTCATAGGGTCGTATGGCTCCTTCCATGCGTTACACATTGCATGACAAAATTATAATACCTGCAAGAGTGTAAAAAGTTATGTTAGTCGAAAGTGTAGAAGTTATTCGAAAAGTCCTAATAATTTTATAGTACATAATTTTATAGTACAGTAACAAGACGTTTGTCGGATAGGATGAATTAATTTCAGACTTTTTCAGGAATGCCCGAAAGCAGGCAATATATATTTACTGGTAGGCATGCATGGCTTATTCTTATAGAACGTATTGTAATTGTGTCATGAAATGCGTAACGCTTAGAAGGAGACATCCCCGACCCTATTAAGTATATAGAATCTAGATCAGCATCAACAGCCGAGTTGATATAACCAGAAGATAGTTCCGGCTCCATAAGGTATTTATATTCTAGACCAAAGTCGGAATTTATTGATCCCACAATATCCCACATATATTATAATTTATAGCACTTAAAGAAGAGTTTTTGTTTTTTGTTTCTCTCCGTTCATATTTATTATTCTGAGTAGATGTCGAGTCGCATATACTTAAGATAAAGAGTGACGGATACGGTGTATAAAATGAATACAATTTTAAAGGTCAAGGTCATTTTTCAATACATCTTTCGAACATTAAAAGGCCCTGCAGCTCCTTAAGCAATCGCGTAGGGTGCAATAGCGATTGCTGTTGCCGCCGCAGCCCCTGTAGGAGAGTCTCTGGCAGGTGCGGCTGAGGCTGTCGTACCACCACATGTCGCTGTTGGCATTCCTGAGGCAGAGGGGACGACTAGCGAAACCCTCATCCCTGCGGCCAACGCAAATTGGCCGGTTAGCTGAGGAGAAACAATCGCAAGTTAATATGAATAGTTATTTTATGGATAACAAGGAGACATGCCCCGATTACTTACGAAGACCACGGCAAGTGCTCCACTGTGCCTCTGAGTGGGCCACATAGAGCACCAGACAAGCCAGGATTATAATAAATTTCATTTTAAAGGAACTCTGCTCGATTTCAACTGATTTAAAACTGAACATTTGAGCGTATATATAGCCAATCGATAAAAGAAATTGCAGGTAAAGTCGAAAGCTCTTCCACAATGTGCTTCATGAATAGAATTGATACAATGCAATTAATATAACAGGGTGCTAAATATTAATTCATATTCGATTTCCTCCATTTATCACGTATACCTTTTTTTTGGCATGAAGGTCCATATGTTTATTTTTGCTTTTACATGCGCACAACTGTTAATGTGAAAGGTAAAAAAATTAAAAAATATTTTCAGTTTATCTCGCTGTCATAACTCCATTGTCTTATGCTTAGCGAAGAATTAAAATATGTGCCATGAATATAATCAATAATTCGTGTACTTACATATTATTCAAAACTAACTCATTGACTGTAATTATCTAAATATAATATAATATTAATAGGAGTTTAGAAGAACAACCAGAAACTAATGGAACCACGAGTTTGAATCTTCTTCAACAATGAACTTAACATGTTCCTCGAAATAACCGCGATTTTAAAGCTTAAAATCTTTTTATTAAAAAAAGAATTTAAGCTGAGCTCAGTTTAAGTTTAGAGTGTATATGGCCTGAGAGACAGTATTTATTAGAAATATTCTAAAGAGGGTCCCAAATCTTGATTAGAAAGAAAAACATAGCAGATATAGAAGCCAAGGTTCGAATGAAGACCTAGATTCGAGGATATAGAAGATCAGGTTCACTAACTGAACCTTTAGCAACGGCGAACCTTGCATCGAACCCTCTTTTAATTGTAATTAAAGGCAATTTGAAAGTCTATAGGAAAAATATTTTTAAAAACGAAATATGTTTTCTAATTTACATTTTTATATGCAACTGGTATCCCTAAGAATTGGTTTGTAGGTAATGTCAAATGGAAACAAGACAGTTCTTCAGGCTGCTAAGGAAAAAGAATAGAAGGGCAAGAAATGCAAGTAGACTTCTGATGATTGATCTTTCATTTGCTAGTTAATAGTTTGTTTGTCTAACATGTATTCATAAGTTAATTAATTCTTCTGAGTTGACCTCCCAATTAAACTTCTCTGTCCCTAATAGACATTATACACATTTATCTCTTAAACTTTTTTCGACTCTATGCCTTGGACGAACCATTCTGAGTCCTCTGTGTTGATTACAACAAGCATTACAGTGTCTTCTTTTCTTCGTATAAAGTCATATATTGTAGACAATTTAGCAAGAAGATAGTCTTAGTTTATAGTCATAGTGTGTATTCGTTTATGTACTTTAAGAATTAAAGGGGGAGGTGGGATACAGTGTATTGTATAGGGAAGCTCAAAAAAAAAGAAGTAAGCTGAAAGCTGTTTCATATAATAATTAAAATGCAATACATTAACAACAATGTATCCGCTAGATCCGATATTTCGAACGATTTTCGCAAAATAACAGCTGTTAAGATAATGCAAACATATCGACCTTCGTTCTATTTCATTAAATTAAATATAGTCGTAAAATTTAGCTACCTTTCGTATGCATTGTCCAAAATCTGGAACAGCTGTCATTGATTCAATGAATTTTGGTCATTTTTCTGCCAGATCGATTTGCTATATAAGAGCTCATAATTTCAGTTGTAAATCAGATCGAACTGAGCAGAGTTTAACAATCTTCCATATTCAACATGAAATTCATTCTGATCTTGGCTTGCCTGGCGCTCTTTGTGGCCACCACCCAGGCCCAGGAAAGACCCTCGACAAGACCGACAAGACCCCCCACAAGACCCCCCACAAGGCCCCCGACAAGGCCCCCGACAAGGCCCCCCACAAGACCCCCCACAAGACCACCCACAAGACCCCCGACAAGACCTCCGACAAGGCCCCCGACAAGGCCCCCTACAAGCAGTTGCCGTGGCGCCGTTCCAGGTAAGAAACTGTGAAAGTCCTTTAATAATATCCATTTACTAATAATTCACTCTCATTCCACAGCTAACCGACAGGTTTGCCAGGGCCCTAAGAACGAAGGAAATTCCAATAGGCGCCAGTGCTCCAACAATGCCAATAGGGAGATGTGGTGGTACGACAGCAGCAGCGGATCCTGCAAGAAGTTGGCCTACAAGGGCTGCGGTGGCAACAACAATCGCTATTGCACTCGCGATGCCTGCCAGGCCAAGTGCAGCACTCGTTCCGTATTGTGGTAATGGTTTCAAAGTGAATAAATTAACTGGATATTGATTGCAATATAAGTGAAAACGCCATTTGTTTTGGCAGTCATTTTTATTTATTTTAAAAATCGTTCAACAAGAATAACTAATTGAGAGTAATTGAGAGTTCTAGTGGGTAGTGCTCGACTAGGAGATATCCTTCCAAAAAAGACACACATATAGACACTTTATGCAGCGGCTGTGCCTCTTCTTGCCTTAACTAACTTCGGTATGTATTGTCCGATCGTGTATTCAATTTATTCTTGGTTTTTTATATTTTTTGTCGAAAATTGAAATATTTTTAATCTGTATATTCCAAACGTACTAAGTTTGATGCTTATAGCTCTTATGATATTTGATAGAATTTGGCTTATACATATATAAGCAGGATCGTTTAAATAGTAAATGCCAGGATATCTTGGGAAACATCGTTCCCATGGCAGTTATGTGATATATAATTCAGATTTTGATAAGATATTAATAATAATAATAATGCCGAGCTTGGTCTAGAGTATATACAATATACCTAATGGGATCGGAGATGTGTGTATATAAGAAGAGCGTATTATTTGAAAATTATTATAATACCCTCTTCAAGAGTATAAAATCTTTGTCTGAAAATCAACTTAGATAACTGTTTATCGAGATATCTACAATATGTGAGAAACTCGTTCTGCGCTTGGGATACGAGCAATATGTTAAAAATGTTAAGTTTCTATCAATCGTAATTTTCAGGATCCCCGGACGGAGAGAGGGGCACTACTAGATCAATCAGTCCTTTGTCTTGATTAGAAATATATATACATGCCTCCCTCCGCCTGTTACATACAGTCAGACAAAAGTGTTACACACTTTCAGACATTTCAGCAGTTGCAGGGTATAATAATGACATAAAAGACTACCTCTAGCCATAATTTTTATTAAAACAAAAGCCATATGCTCGGTTTTGTAATTGCCAATACTTTTGCTTAAGTGCCCGCATAAGTATGTTACAGAAACCTTTGTGGAGCTGACATTGTGTTGAATGGAAAAAACCCCATTGCAAAATATCAGGTGTGCACATAATGGAAACATCATGACCGCAATTCCATTCAGTATTTAAATTGAACACTCGTTTTTATTCATTGCCCGCCTTCTGGAACAGCTTTCAGGAAATCAATCCATTTTTTTTTGTTTTTTGCATTTATTTATCACATAAAGCGCTCAAATTTTCAGTCTTAATTCAGTTCAAGCTGAGCAGAGTTTGAAAATCAACTTCTATATGAAATTTGTACTGATATTGGCTTGCCTGGTGCTCTATGTGGCCCACAGTCAGGCCCAGGTGGACGATTGTCCTGGGGCTGTTTATCGTAAGACCTGTTCTTTATTCCTTTAAGAATAATTTATTATATAATTTCTATTCCACAGCCAGCCGACAAGCTTGCGTAGGCGGTAAAAATGAGGGCAATCACCGAACTCGCCAATGCCGCAGATATTACAATAATAATATGTGGTATTACGACAGCCGCAGCCGATCCTGCAAGAAGATGATCTTCTTGGGCTGCGCTGGCAACGATAATCGCTATTGCACTCGCGAATCCTGCGAAAGGAAGTGTGTTCGTCGCACCTAAGGATAAGGAAATTTTCAAAGGGAACTATGAATATTGGAATAAATGAAATATAATAGAAAAAAAGCTCAGGTAAAATCAAAGTAAAACAACCCTATTTGATCTAGGCAATAAAAAACTTGGCCATAATCAATCTAGCTGGAAACTGAATCCGAATCTTATTACGAAAATATCACTTTAGCAAAGACAAAGTTCTAATGTTTCAAGCAGGAAGAACTTATGAATCTTAACTAGATTCCTAATTCGTGACATATGCTGCTCTTACAAGAAATTTACAGTCATATATTGTGTGCGCTTCTAATTCTCAACTAGTTAAAGAAAAGTTCTGCTTAAGTGAAAGATGCGGTGCTTCGAGAATTGCGTCTACTTAGAGGTGAGATATATATATATATAGTAAAAATACAATACATTTAAAACAATGGATCCGATTGAATTGATAATTCGAAAGCTTTATTTACTCCCTTTGCAAAAAAAAAAAGCTGTGCAAACATATCGACTTCCATTCCATGGTTAAATTACGTGATGTAGCCGTTATTCCATTCAGAATTTATACTATTTATATATTCTACTCTATCAAGAAAACCCCATTAACATATTTACACATTATACATTTACATTTATACTTCTCTCTTACATATAATTCTCAACTTGTTAAGGGCAAGTTCTAATGAAAGACAACTATCCCAGCGAACAGAGCTTCCGCTCTCTAATGACACCTATTTATTAGATGACGTAAAGTGCCAAAGCAATTTGTCAGCTTGCTCGAGCGATTACCTGATATGGTAAATAATAGTAATTAAATAATCAAACACTTTAAAGGATTACTTATTTAAATGTGGGCTGGCGTGCAACTCACGCAATGCTCTTTCGCCTTATATAAGGCAGTGTTGGTTAGGTTAGGAATTCCAATTGTAAAATGGAAAAGTTGCTGCGAGCTATTCAACGCCTTCTGCCCTCAAATGCGTCAGAGGGCCGAATCGGGTCCATCGAGTTGAACTTGTGGCTGGCGCACTTGGTGGGTCTGCCCCTGTTGGGCCTGAAGCGCGAGACTCCGCGCCAGAAGATGTGCATTATAATATTTGGATCCCTGGTTCTGTTCGCCATGCTGGGCTATGTCTATTGCGAGTTATACGATCTGTATCTCAATTGGCATGACTTGGACGCGTTCACACAGAACGTGGTCTTATCCTTGACACATGTTGTCTTCTTGCTAAAGGTAAGCTTTTGTTGACTGACTGATTGACTGACTAACTGATTGACTGACTGATTGACTGATTGACAGACTGACTGACTAAGCAAGTTGAGTTTTTCTCTTAGTAGCCTTTTAGCCTGTAAATGCGCACACGATAGGTTTTCGTAGACTTCCACCCGCAAGTGTGGAATAAGTGTGGAAAGGCGATTGTTTAAATTTCTTTTGGATTCAAAGAGAAAGAGAAAAGTTAAGATCTAAGTGAAAATTCAATAAAAAGGTGTTTAATAATTTTTCTAAATACAATTTTCAATTGCCGTCCGTCTGGTAACTAATATTGAAAGATTAAGATTTTGGTTGAGAACAGGACGGGAAGTTAGTAAAAAGTAATGGTTAAAATTAAAAGAAACCCCCTCTTAATAATAACTATTTTTAGGCCTGCAACACGTGCTATCACTATGGATGCCTAAAGGATGTTATCCTCAGGCTACGCAGCCTCACACGTCGATGTGTTCTGTCCGAGCGGCAAATCGAGACATTTCAAAGGGCGGAACTGAAGGGCAAGTTGGCGAATCTGATATACTTTAATCTGGTTCTGTTGCCGAGCGCCATGGCCGTTGTTTATATACTAATCGGTGAGTGGGTAATTAATATATTTATTATTTTAATATCATGGCAATCGTTTCAACTCAGCTCCAGAGGATTTCGCTGGCAATCGTTTTCCGTATCGCGCCGAGATGCCCGATTTCCTGCCGCACATTCTACAATCTCTGTACAAGGGACTGGGTGTTGCTCTATTGGCGCTGGAAACTACGACGATTGACTATCTGAACATATCGCTGATGGGCCAGATATGTATGCACCTGAAGGTACTCAACTTGGCCTTCGATGAGCTGCGTCCGTCTAGCAGGGAGAAGCCCCAGATAGATCCCTACAGCTGGCTCGTGGCCATTGTGAAATATCACTGCGAGTTGATCGTGTAAGGAGTTAAGGATCTCAAGCGTTCTCTAATTAATAGAAATTATATATATATATTGACATATTCCAGCTTGCGACAGCGGGTGGACCGCATCTTCAATCTGCCAGTTATGCTGCAGTTCGTCAGCTCCATGGTAATTCTCGCCATGACCGCATTCCAGGTAATTGTCATCGGAGACGGTTCTAAGAGCTCCATTATTATGAATCTGCTGCTCTGCTGTGTGCTCTGTCAATTGTTCTTGTATTGCTATTTCGGCAACGAGGTCTACGAGCAGGTACTATATACACCTATACCATATTCCTCCGTGTAATATATATCTTTCCCTCTAGAGCAAAACGCTGTCTACTTCTGGGTTTGGCTGCGATTGGAGTGGACTCGACAGAAAGTGTAAACAAACTCTGTTGATTTTCATGATAAACGCGGAACGTCCCTTTCTTTTCACGGCTGGCGGCTTTATGGGCCTCACTCTGCCCAGTTTCACGTACATAATAAGCAAGTCCTATTCCATTGTGGCCGTGCTCAGGCAAATGTACAGCAGGTCCTAGGCACCTTTCAATCGAACAAGCCCAACAAGCTCAAACCCAACATGTAATCACGTAACTATCAACCAATCAACCCGAACATGTAATCACATAATTATCAACTATTTAAATTATTATTAGTTGCCGCCAGTTATTCACACCTCATTCACATCGCATGTCGCATGTGTCGCAAAACGTGTCATTAGCCCATTAGACACCCGTTCTCAATACCCTCTACCCAAATACCCCACGATTGGGAGATAAAAAAAAAAACAGAGCTCGGTTAAGAGATTCGGTTTGTAATATTTCTTTTATTTAAATATTCTATTATATAGTAGCTATTACGATTTTGAGCAATTAATGCCGAGGTTTGTCAAGATATCGTATAAAAAAAAAAACATTTTTTCATATAAGAAGCTCGTTTCCGACCGATTGTTCCCATGGGTATTATATAGTATTTATATTTCTATATAAATAGGGAGCATAGTAAAACCAAAAAGTTCCTCATACAAGTGCCTACTTTCTGAGGCCCATAAAGCCGCCAGCCGTGAAAAGAAAGGGACGTTCCGCGTTTATCATGAAAATCAACAGAGTTTGTTTACACTTCCGCCAGAGAACCGCCAAATAAAAGCAAAATATTCCATGTATTTGTCGCTTACTGTAGGGTATATTTGCATGCTCCACTTGAAACCTTAATCATTTTATTGCCAATCTCACTTATACACGTACATATATACCAAGAAATGTGCTTTAATTGCTCGCTCAGAGCGAGGCTACCCATTGAAAAGAAGTAAGGGGTATATATAACAGCTAGGGATAAGATAACCGAAATTTTGCGTATTTTGTGAGCAGTTCAATTTAAAACAAAAAATATCGATAACAAATGCTTTTTTCGAAGTTCGCGCCAAAACAGGGTATCGTTCAGTGGTGCACAATATGCTCAGCACAATGTCTGCACAATGCGTCATATGTATTTCGTTTAGTCTGCCCGTGTTCTCTGACCAAGAACATTGTGTCTTCTTGAAAAGGGCCTTTGTTAGTATGAAATCGGTAAGTTAAATATGTATATTGTATACCAATTTGTATTTGCAGATGGCAAATGGCTTGATTTCTTCAAAAAAATAAAAGATACCCCTGCTCTGAAAATGTAGACCCAAGCGCCAAGTCACAACTGTACCAAGTGAAAAGTTGACGTCAGCGAAATAAATGCATCTAGATAAAAGTTTTACTCAAATGAATTATTTCTAGAGATATAAGCTATTAAAATTAAAATAAAATAAAATATTTAAAAATAAAATAAATATGTCGAGTCCACTCCAATTGCAGCCAATCAGTGCTGGCGACAACAAAACGGTTATCACACTCGTGCCGCACAACTGCAATGACCCCCCTGAGAGTCAATTGGTATACAATATACGTAAGCTAAGTATCTGATAATATGTAGCTTGTTTTCAAATTGAGAACAACATGATAGAGTCCAAAACCGTAAGCCGGCTTAACGTACTTCCAGTCTGAAACCGGGAGGGTTTCGTTCATCGTGACATTCTTGTTGATGATTCAGTCCATATTCCAACAGCTGAAAGGGATTTGATGAGGCTCCATACTGTCGAGATATACTCTAAGCACTCGGCTAACTCCGGATGAGACAGTAGAGGAGTAGAGCGTTGGACAAGGTGCACTCGCTTGAGCCTTCATTCGGAAAGCTTCTGACGACTCCGTAGATCACGAGCTGAATGGCTTCTGGTGCGCCCTAATAACAAGAGTCCTTTAAAGAAGAAATCGTTCTAAAAAATTGTTAAATTGATAAGTGAAATTGGGCTTTTACCCTTATGATTAATAAAACGCTGATGAGTTTCCAATATCCTTTGCAGTGCGGCTGTTATCGATCATATGTCTAATGTTAACGATCATCGTATACCTGACAATACCGAAGCTACGGAATCTACATGGCTATTGTTTCACATGCTACATGGCCAGCCTGCTGGTAGCATATGCATTACTCCTAGTCGATGCCTGGAAGGAGGACTGGTCGAAATCTATGTGCCAGTTGAATGGTATGTAAAGCACAATATAGTGAAAGAAACAGCTGAGTCTATGACTGAACTAGCCCAACTAAGAGATGCCATGAACCCAATGCCGAACTATCCTGTCAAGCATTCCAGCTTCTCCTCTTTAAAATACTCTTTAGTTTACGCAGCGGCTGAGCTTCTTCTCTTAGCCCCACACCGATCTATCCTCTATCCAAAAATGGATATTTTACAATCTTGTGGGGAGGTATCTAAAAATAGAAATATTTTGAATCTGTGTATACCTTAAAGAGTCTACATACCAAATTTGTTGTATCTAATTCTCAAAAGCTCCAAAATAAAATGGATTTCGATATCGATTTTTATCGATCGGGCAATCTATCCATGATTTAAAACAAAACTCGATCTTGGCAGGCAACAGAAGGTGCTACGCTCAAAATTTCAAGTACCTCTACCACAAGTTGTATCCATTCAGTGGGTTCACGGTCTAAAAAACATTGGTTTGGTTCACAATTTGTACTTTAGACATTATATTTACTAAATAATTGATACTCACGCAGGCTATGTGGGCTACTTTGCTGTCATGGCCAGTTTCCTTTGGCTGACCGTCATCAGTTTTGATCTGTGGAACAGTTTCCGTGGCAACAACTACAACGTTCAACGATATACGCCCAAGTACCGATTCTGGATCTACAGCCTATATGCATGGGGTTTTGCTGCTCTACTTACCATCATTGTGATTATCGTCGATTATGAACTGGACGACATGGACGACGACCAACTTTTATGGATGCCAGGAGCTGGGCTTTACAATTGTTGGGTTAAGAGTGAGTTGAGAACCCGAATTTATCGATTGAAGATCTTATCAACGTCTTTTTAATAGCTCACGATTGGTCTGCGTTGCTCTATTTCCATGGTCCAATGGCTCTACAAATCATTTTCAACATAACAATGTTTATACTGACTGTAAGAACTGCGAAAAGTTAGATGTGTAAATTTTGGGGCGGATGTAGGACAGAGATTTTATATAGATATCGATTGATCAACAGCAACAGCCGAGTTGATATACCCATGTCCGTCTGTTTCTATGTTAAAACCGATCGGATCGGTCTACTATATCAAAAAGCTGATCGACGATCGAAAAGTTCTATGTTAAACTTCTTTGTTTACCAAGATATCTTCCCACGAAGATCTCCAGATCTCCATAGATGATTTATAACTTTGTTTTTCTGCAGGCCATTCGCATTTTGGAGGTGAAGAGGGACTTGCAGAACATTGGGGCACGCGAGGATCGTGAACAAAGACTCAATTCGGAAAGACGAACGTATAGAAGATGAAATATTCTTATCTAGATAATCGTAATAATGTTTTTTTTATCTACTTTTACAGCTACACTCTGTTTGTGCGCTTGTTTGTCATCATGGGCGTGACCTGGACCTTTGAAATATTCGCATATTTAGCGCAAAATCATAAAACACTCGAGAAGATCTTTTCGTTCTTCGATTACATCAACTGTGCCCAGGGCGTCATCATATTCATCATGTTCGTGCTGAAGAGCAGCGTCTTGAGACTCATCTCGAATCGGTAAGTATCGAGAGAGTTAGATGGAGAGAGAGTCAATATATCATGAACATTTATAATTGGGCTCACCCAATCCTTTTATGGCAAAAGTATTCGGGGCATAGAATCAGCTGAAGATGGCAGCGACTCCGAAGAAGAAATCGCACTCCAAGACAGGAATGGAGCTGCCAATAAGATCGGTCCCAATATCTTGAATTAGGTAAAAATCATTGGATTTTCAATGGCCTTGGTGCATGCTGTTCCCTTTGTGTTTTCTTTAAAAATTTGTGTTACTAACTTGCCCGCTTTCCTTACTTCTGTGTTGTCTTGTTATGTTTTTGTGTTTGACTAAGCTTGGATCCAATGTAAATGCTGTACTTAGTTATTTGGTTTATGTTCTGTTGATATCAATTTTTTTAATTTTTGGGTTAACTAACTCACTGCATTGCCTTACAAATCAGCTCTCATCTGTATAATATTTCGACATATTTGGTAATTATATCCTTTCAGAATACACCAGGTCGACCACAAAATGCAGAGCTATCGGATGAGCATATATCGTTAATCAAGAGCCGGAGGATCAGCTCAAAAATATTCGTAAAAGCAGCATTTATTTATTCAAAACCATTTTCGATTTATATATACATACGTGCGGAAGCTTAAAAGCACGAGAAGAACTAATAATTTCTATGTCAGCAAAGGTATTTTTTATACTACTAACTATATAATATATGCATTTAAATTGGTAAACAGCATGATCATACCAAATTCCATTGAGTTATAACTGTTGGCAAGGAGACCAATGAGACCAGAGTTGCCTCGCAATCGTTGGGAGTAAATGTTGGGAGTACTTGTTCGTTTGTGAACGAATTCATCGTGAACGATGAACGATAAAAAAAACGAAATGAACGTTGCTTTCGTTTCAAATGAACTACAAAGCAGTTTCCAATAAGATAATATAACATATTATAATAAAATATACAATAAAATAAAATAAACAATATAATATAATATACAATAAAATAAAATAAACAATATAATATAATATACAATATAATATAATACAATATATAAGAACCAGTTAAAACGGAGATGCAAGAAACATCGATACATTGTTGCGCGATGCTAATTCGCACGATATATCGATATATTTGGTTTGATTAGATGCCCCATTTTGCCTTCTGCAACATTTATAAATATATGTACGCATATATTTACATATGTATATAGATACATATATATTAGCAACTAAATCTGTCACTGACTGAGATTATGCTTAAAGGATTTAAACATGGGTTGATTTATTATATAAAAGCGCAAACTTTTAGGTACAAATTAAAAGTTATTTAAATTCTAATAAGCGTTCTCCTTACAGTTTACCAGACGAGTTGCACAGGCCGAAAGAATGAATGCAATTCGAATAATGTTCGCCATCAAATAAATATATAAAGGTCAGAATGTATAATAACGAAATGTGAGAGTTGGGGAACATGGAAATGTTATAATTTCAAAAATTAAAGCATTTCAAGTCGACTCGAAGGTCATGCTAATAAATGACCCCATTGCAATAGTGATGGCCTCCTCGTGGTGTTCCCTGGGTACCGATATTTGTTTGTATATCGGTAGCTAATTCGAGCGGCGACTTTTAAATTGTATACCTCAAATCAAATGTAAGGCTTAAACATATATCTATATAGGTAAAACTGTGTGTCTTGACTGACGCTAGGAAGCTGAAGTTTATACTATAATTACCTTATGTGATGGACGTGCACGCTAAGATATGGATATTTAAAAAAATTCCAGCCGTAATTGTGGAAAGATCGCGAAACACGTTTGTATGAAACTTTTTGTTGACCAAATTTTTGGGGTTAAAATTGTTTTGAAATATTTTTGTGAAAGTTAATTCGATACGTTTTTTCGCAAAATTCACTTCTCTTTGAGGAAAAAGTCGAAGTTTTAATCAACAAAAGTTTCTGTTTTTGGCTTCAGGAATCTTATTATCTAATCATTAAACTTATTTACTCTCCAAGTTAAAGGTTTCAATTGTCATTATTTGTAATCATTAAGTACATTAATTTGTCTAGCTTTTGCTTGTTTTCATCCTAAAGCTCTTATAGAATCGGCAGAGTTAAAATATGTGTTAATGCCTACTTTGGAAATCTACCTACGTTTAAAAATAAGTCATTTGAATTAGCATTCCACTTTTATACGGGGTTGGGTCGTTTGCACTTCTTTTCACAAGCTGCTAGACTGCAATGACGATTGTTGTTGCCACCACAGCCCTTATAGGCCATCTTCCTGCAGGTGTTGCTATCGATGTGCTGCCACCACATTCCTGAGGCACTCTGTATAAAGACTATGTCCTGCCACTATACCGCCAAAGCAGTCTTGTTGGTTAACTATAGCATAAAAGTTAAATATAAACCAACGGATGAATGGATGGATATACACAATGTCTTACCAGGAACGGAGCCTTTGCAATTGTTCGGCTGAGCCTGAGGCTTATCAGGCAAGCCAAGATTAGATTGAATTTCATGTTGAAGATTAGCTCGAACTGATTTAAAATTGAAAATATAAGTGTTAATGTCGATGGTCGATGTGCTTCATACGTGCACATCTGTTTTATTTTCCAATGAGGTTTAATAAAACATTAGAATTATCAGATCTACTGCACTTACCACCTATTGGGTATTACGTTTGCATCTTAAAATGTAAGCTAAGAAATTTATTCCCATTTTCATCATTTCTTTGTGTATTTAAATTGTTGTTTTTTGAAATTAGTAGATGATTTAAAACATGGCCACAAATCCAGCCAATACCTGCCTTGAGGCTTTTGATGCCATTGCAGCCAGGTAAATCGAAAGTTTTCTACAAACTTTTAAAAATTCCAAAAAAGAAACAAACTTTTCGCTCTTCAGTAGTTCGCCCAACATCGAATCAGACTTTATATTTAGCATCCTGAAAAGGGGCTTTTTTTAAATTCTCTTCAAACTTCCAAGTTGTGATAAGCTGTCGTTTGGGTTTTGAATATACCTGCCGATTCTCTTATATAGGCGCTGCAATGTTCAGTTTAAAGTCAGTTCAGATCGAGCTGAGTCTAGCGTGTTTCTTCAAAATGAAATGCATTCTGATCCTGGCTGGTCTGGCGTTCTATGTTGCCCACACTGGGGCACAGCGGAAAGTCTGCCGTGGTGGTGTTACAGGTTAGTAATCCATAAATAATGCGGGGCATTAATAACTTCTTTACCCTCTACAGATAGCCAACCGGGTTGCATAGGCGGCAAAAGCGAAGGACATGCCAAGGCGACCTCCTGCTACGGGAATGCCAACAGATACATGTGGTGGTACAATACCAGGAGCCGATCCTGCAGGAGACTCTCCTACAACGGCTGCGGTGGCAACCACAATCGCTTCTGCACCAAAAGCCGTTGCAAGAACAAGTGCAGGCGGAGTGGAAAAGCAACAATGCAAAGCCAAACAACTGAATACGGAATATGAAATTTATTCGCTTCGTTTTGCTTTCAATTGTTATTTATCCTGACAAGAATATATTTTTGTTAGAGTATCTGTAGTAGTCGCTAATGCATGCTTTATGGTTGATTGTGGAGTTAAATTTGTTTTTATTAAATTTAAAATTAATATTTAATTATATTATTAGTTGAATGCAGGATAGCTTAAGATATTGTAATGTATAATCTACAAAGAGTTGCCTAATTCCTTGAAAAGTACTTCAATGTGCTCTTAAATGGGATATTTTAAATATATCTTCAAACCCAACCCATTGGCTTCAGGATATTCAAACTTTGCTGAGCTGTGAACTGGATCTTGAACTGAACCTTGAGCGGAACCTGTTTCTTAAATAGGTATAAATCTGAATACTAATGGATAAACTGAAAATATTGTATTTAAAATAATACCCCGCCTTCAACAATGTGAATGTAAGTGTGCAGTTTGTTTTGTCCGCCACTGTATAAATTGAAAGCCTTTAACCGAGTCACATTTAACTTTCTGTTAAGCTTGTGCGGCGAGAGCTTTTTGTGCAACTTAACAGCGCACCGCTGTTATCTAACAGCTGCAGACAATTGCCCAAGCGATTGTCTCAGTTGCAGCGAATTGGCCAACAAAGAAGTTCGGCAGCGGTTAAACAAACGCGCAAACAACGCAAAGAAAATTTAATTAATTGAAAATACGTTAGGTTCAAACCTTCAACTTTATATGTGTCAAAGATAATTGAAAAACTTAAACCTAAGTGAGTGCGTTAAAGAAGTTCACATGATAAAAATAATCAAGTCGGTTAAATATTTGAGCAAACTATCTTAACGTTAAGATCGCTAATTAGTTCCCTTTCGAACTGTGGCGCGAATAAGTATTTGGACATCTGTTCGGGAACCCGCTCTCCAGCTGCAGAGAGTCAAGGTCAGTTTTTTTTTGGATTTGTTTCTTTTTCGCTTTGGCATCCAGCGCAATGTGATCTTCAATTTGGGGAGCCTTGGATGCCTGGCGAGCGATTAAAATGTGATTTTTATGAACCAGCGACCGAGCGACCGAGAGAGCTGCCCACAAGTTTTATATATTGGTTTTTTATTTTCTGTATTATTTGTATATTTGTCGTAATTGCCGAATCTTTGACAATCTATATGTATATATAGTTTTTGTATATTCATGTAGTTGCCGGCACTTGAGCCTCAATGCTGAAGCGCGAAACCAGTTTTCAAGAAACTCTCCTCTTCGAGACAATGTCAACGCGCATAATTCGGGAATACCACGGAATAGGTCTTGAGACTCGTACTGCGGATCCGGCTGGAAGGCAGACGGGGCACGTTTTTTGAGCGTTAAACACACTCGATGGGCTTATTAATACAAATATGTTTATACAAATGCATATATAAGTACATATATAGATGTACTTTTATATGTGTTTACACGTTTTGTTCAATTGTTTTCAAAGCCATCAAATTAATTGGCAATTGCGCTCGTTTTGGTTGCTTTCGCAAATCGATTTTTGGCTATAAAACAATTTGGGACCACCCAAAAAACAACAAAAAAATTTCTAATCCAAATTGTGTTTCTCTTGGATCTCATCACATCGGATATTATCGTATTCATATATTATATCATAATGATAATTGATGTTGTCGTTGCCCCTGCAAAAAAAAAGTGACTTTGAACACGTTCACGTTAGGCACAAGGTAACATTTATTACCCTACATTAACCATAGAGCGCCCTACGTGTCATTTGGACCTATACCTGATATAAGGTATACAGCAATATATAAATAAACTTTGGAGTTTAATATGCTCATTTGGTAACAGCAATCGGGGAAGCATCTTGGTCTTATCTGCAAAATTCAACTGTCTTGGCTTCTTCTTGCCAGAGATAAGTGTAGGCAATAAAAAAGATTTTGTGAAATGAAGTTAAAGTTAGGAAAAACCCATTTGTTGATCGTCTCCCTAGCATACTGGCATACGCTTGGGAACAAGGGAGGTAAGAGCTTGAAAGTAGTTTCCTTTATGGTGATATATGGGTTTTTAAAATTCCACCTAAAACTGTGGAAAAAGGGTAAATATCTATACCAAGCTGGGTTATACACTTAAAGAAATAGTTATGAATTTTGTTCTCAAATCATCTGCAGCCAAAGTTTAAATATTGGTATTTTAAAAGGATTTCTTCTTCAAAAACTTTCTCTGTATTCCCAAATACAAGACTTAAATTCAGTACTCATCGTAAGAAATTTAACGCTTACATTGAGAACGTACTTACTTAAGATATTCAAATTCTTGTAAGTATTTTAATTAACCAACCAATTTGACTTTATTTATTTTATTCTTAATATTTATAACATTGAGGGAAAATTTTGCAATCAAAGATTTTATATACTGATTTTAGTAATATTTATGAAGAAATGTATTTGTAGTTTTGAGAACGAAACGCTATAAGTTCTTTTCCAGTCACACCATTAACAAAAATTAACTGAATTTGCAATTTATAGTGGAAAAAAATAATAATATAGCATGCTTATCTCTTAACTCTTTTGAATACTGCAAGCAAATGCAACTGATTATGGCGAGCACTGTACGAATATAATTGACTTGTCAGATGTACAGTTATTATTGTGCTTTTCGCTGCTATTCAACATGTGCGTTCAATTCGCTTGAAAGCTTCGTGGAGCTCGCTGATCTTTGACTCATTTGGATAATGGATGTAACGTGAGCTTTATGTCAGCTTCGGCCGGCTAATTGAATTGCCCGCAACAGGCCAATTAAGTCGATAAATAGACAAAACAAATACGCGCTGAATCACAGCTTGAAAAAGCTGCCCTCAGGGCGCAAACAGCTTCGATTGCGATTGCCAAAGCCAAACAGCAGCAGGTTGTGGGAGCACTTGACCACTTGAAGCATCCATTCATTGATCACTTGACAGTTTGTTTACATTTCAACTGGGCAAACCGCTGGCAAGCGTCTATCAATTGCCATGTGGCTTTTGTTTTTTTCGCCTACGTGCGGACAAGGCGAAAAAAGGAATGCCGACAAAGGCCCACCAACAAAGCCCTCCAATGTGCAGTATTAGCGAAAAATACAGATATGTGTGCAATAATTACATGTGCACATATACGTGTGGATATACTTATACATATGCATTTGTTTATTTAGTTTATTTTGTTGCGAGGATTCGCTGCATGTTAAATTAACATTTAACTATTATTGCAAGATCGCCGCTGTTATAAGAGCTGAGACATAACATTTTATGTTTCTTTTCCCTTTTATCATATGCAGCTAGATATAATCAAATATTCTGATTGAAGAATATGTCTCTTTTCTTAATTTTATTAATGCTGTAATTAATTATTGTTGACTATCTCTCTCTCGGTTTTAACCACACTCTCTATTCCTTTAATTGTCTTACTATCTCTTTCTTTCTTCCAATTGCTCCCGTATGCTCTGCCCCTTGTAACTCTCCTTATCATTTTCCAGCTCTTATCCACTCTGACACAGCCACAAACAAGCGCTGCAAAGCATTCAGCAGCGCACTGCTAACAGCGCATTAACAGACAATTTAAAATTTATCTGTTGTCAGTTTACAGTGGCATAACAGACAGTAGTTTATCAGTCGTCCGTTCAGTTCGTTTAAAACCGTCGCCCGCTGTGGAGGTGTCGCGGCATTAAAAAAGAGAAAATCGTAGAAAAAATAAAACAAAACAATTTTATAATGGAGTTGTTGATAACTCGTTAATAATATCGTATGCGCTTTTGCTTTTTTAATTGCTATGATAATAACTATATAACCGGTTGAAACGAACGTCACAACGCGAACTAGTGCTCGAGGTTTGTGATCTGCGTGTTGTTACATCGGGAATTCCCAGCGAATTATTGATGATCTCCTCAATGATATGTGAACAAAGCTAACATTATAAGAAATGCAATAATAGGAAGCAGAATTTTAATTGCAATTTGCCTTGGTTCTCGCATAAATAGGGCAGAATTCGGGCAAACTGTTTCGTTTTTTTGTGACAAATATTCACGGGTACTTGTCATCCAAAGTTGTCAACAACAAGTTTGGGAAGTCTTTCCAGCTCAAGAGTTAAATAAATAAATTAAAATTTAAAAAAAAAACCCAGCTCAGCAAATGCTTTAAAGAGAACCGCGAATCAATGGCGTTCAACTGTTGAGCTGCTTTGCATACCGAATGACGAGGGGCTAACGCGTGTTATTATCTGCCATATATATTCATATATTATATATACACATATTAAATATACTTCCAGTAAGTGCAGCCAAAATGCAAACGTTTTAAAAGTTGCACATGGACAAAAGACTTACACACAGCAACAAATATTAGCGAGCCGAACAAATAACTTGATTGAAGCAAATATTGTCCAGTGCTATTCGAAAGGTACATATAAATAAATATATATATATAAATATATATAGATAGATAGAGAGAGTGATATAGTGATATATAGCCTCCTAGGTAAGTGCAAATGGGCATTCAGATAAGGCTTTGTAGTATTTCCTCAAGAGCTGATTGTAAACAACGCACAATAATTAGTCGCCCTGCCATTCAAGTGGGCGTTGCCCTTCCAATAATGCGACAAATATATATAATCTAATGGCATATGCTGTTCCGAAAATCTCTTCAAAATCAAATTGATCTATTTTTAAAACATTTCTCTTAAGATTTATGCATTATTTATGCGCTAATCCCCATTATAGCTGAGGAAATTTAGTTTATTTTATAAATAAAAGTCTAGAAGAAACATTACTAGGAAGATTAAATACCCTTGAAGAGCTTCATTTCCTAGTTATTGTTCTTACAATAGCTTTTAGATATGTTGGGAAATTTTAAATTACGAGCTTTACCGATTTGTTGGGAAAATTTAACATATATATATATTTTAACATATGCGAAAGTAACTATGGAAAAAATCGTTAAAGAAAATTTTATTTAAAAGTATTTAATTTATCTTTCCTTGATCTTATGAGAACTATTATTTCCTATTTCAGTTCGAAATAACGTGTTTTCCGAGGGTATTCAGCTTCGTCGTAATGTTTTTTCTTAGGTTTTTGTTTTATGAAATAGCAGACGCACTTCCCTGAGTTAGGTCAAGATATCTTAAGAAAACCCACAATAATTCCATATAAAAGCAATATTTGACAGATATTTCTTATGGAGCTATATGCAGTCCGATGTTGTTAAGAAAAACTAGACAATGCTGATTGTTGTTAGGATATCTTGAGAAATAAAAGTTTTGTTTATATATAAACTGATTTTTTGCCAATTTTCTGCAAGTTTACAAAAAAAACCATTAGTTTCTAGGAAATTTATTTTACAATTTCTATAAGATATTTATATATATTTAGCTATTTAGCTTGGCCTAATTAATTAAATTTAATTTAAATTTTTAATTTAATTTCCACGGCTCGTTAGGCTAGTTTATGTGGGCAAATGACAGATTTGGGTCGTTGGCTGAGTCAAGTGATTAACAACTGGAAAATGGGTTCTGGGTAAATTTAGTTGCACTTAAGTTCGACGAATTTCTGTTAATTGCATAACAAATAATGTTTTGTCTTCAAAGCTGTTTTCTTAACAAGACTTTAATCAAACACTTGTTGCACTTTGAGTCAGCGTAAAGTGGCTCATAAAACAGCTCACCCATACCATCCCCACCCCATACCAACCCCACCCCACCTCAGTCTACTCATCAAATGCAACTCTGTGTTGGGGTTGGGGTTGGGGTTGGGGGTGTTTGCCCTGAATACGCCCTCTTTTGACCGCTGCCCATTGCCAATACTCGGCTACTCTTCACGCGCCTTTAATTTGTTTACAGTTTGCACATTTGGCTGCCGTTTGTTAAAATCTTTAATCTCATCTAAATACCCTTTTCATGAGTCGAGTCCGTATTTTAGTTATAGTCCGCAGGATCGGATCTCTATCTGACATGGCTTCCCTCAGAAGGATCATATATGTAGATCTATATGCAGAATCGTTCAAAATCGTTTGTTTGTCTCTCTGTTCTTTTTTCTCTAAATATCTTAACCAACACTGGAAATGACTTTTCATGAGTCGAGTCCGTATTTTGGCTCTAGTTTCAGTCGACCACATCGTACCACTTTATAATATACCTGCTCTCAGAGAGTTCACATAGATCTATAGGCTGAATAATTGAAAAACAAAAATATCTTAGCTAACACTGGAAATAAGTATTCAAGAGTATATGCTTCGTTGCAATCCGTCAGATCGGAGCCCTAAATCATTTCAAAAGGTTCACATAGCTCCATATCTTTCAAAAACGATTTTGTTTATATTTGTATTATTTTAAAATACACTTACCAACACTGGAAATTAGGATCTTTACAATTTCCTAGCATATCTAAAAAGTCGTCTCAAATCGTTCTGCTATATTATATTCCCTCCATAGGAATAATCATTCGAATATAAAGTTCTTGTATAAAATGAAGTGAAAGGGTATTTAAGCTTCGGCGTGCCGAGCAAATCCGTTTTTCTTGGTTGTTTTATTGTTTATTGTTTTGCCTTGAGTTTTGTTTATTTCACATTACTTGCCGTAAGAATTCGCGATTTACCCAGGAACTTCGATCCACGACACGTCGCGCTGTTTGTAAACAAAGTTCAATGGGAATATGTTTATATATAAATAAATATATATATATTTATGTGAAGAACTCTTGTGATATGATAAATGCAAAGTACACATAGCATAAATTATAAACATGTGAGGAGCTTTCTGGCATTTAAGCTGCATTCAGTTGCCGTTTATCATGCAGGTGGGTGGTGCCTCCAGGTTACCTGCCCCAGCTACCTGATAAGCGTCATGAAATTGCAATTTAATTAGCAAAATGCATTCAGCCATATCCTTGACATTTCCTTAATGTTAATCGCAAACGAAATTCGCTAGAAATTGTTCTGTTCGAATGTTCATTTAAGTGCCTTTTTTATCATAATGCTCAATAAGGATTTCGATGGAAGTGCAATAAAAAACGATCCATAATAATTATTGTATAATTCAATTTGACTTCCGCGTAATCGCTTTGTTTAAGTGATCCATTAAATACAGTTATTACCGAACCCATAAAGCTAAGTTCAATAACTCCGAAGAAACATAAAATTTTGTTGAAGTGCTTCTTCTTGAACATTCTTCAACACATTTGTTCAAATCAGACGTGATATTCCATGGCATATCCAATTTAATATACAGTTCTAAAGATAATTACTTTATGGCATATTAAGATATCTTCTGACAACTCGAAATTAACGTGCTTTCAGTCCTTGTTCTTGTTGATTGAAGTGCTTCTTCTTGTATACATCATTCATATTCTTAATAGATCCCATGGGATATCCGAAAACTTAACTTCTGCATAGAAAAACTTTACTTTATTACAAGATCCCTTTAGCATAATTGAAAACTGATGTGCTTTCAGCTATTGCTCATGTAGGATTTCTATAGTAGATCACGTCAATCACTCAATCAATCGGTCGACAATAGAGTTTTGTACCCCAATTCTTATGCTTTATTCTTTGGGCACTTGTATTTAATCTACGGCTTGTTCATGCTTACGATTCATTCTTTTAAACTTTACCCCCTTTTTGAGTACTTTAAAAAACCATCATCAAGATTATATATTATATTATATTCCCCTGCTAAATTTAAAGTCTGATGATTGATGAGATAGCGATATTTAACTATTTATAAATAGAGGGGGACAAAGTTTGGGATTTTGCATTAAATGATAGGGTAAGAAAATGAAATATGAAGATGTGGAATTGGAAACTAAGCGGCATTTAAAATAATATTAATGGATAATCGAAGCTCAGGTAGGCATTAAGTTACACGCTTGGCAACATTTTAATCTCTGTCAAGCAGCTTGATTGATTTGATGTGCAAATAAGCTGCTCATCAAATGTGAGAGCCGTTGTCTATATGTCTTGCCGGGCTGACATTTTTACTCGAATAAAATACCCCGAAGGGGGTTAAATATCGCTTAGCAATCAATTTGCGGGCCTGGGCTTGGCCCAAGTGTGTTTAAATTGGCTAAAACCGAAATTCTATTGCGTGATGTTTGTTTGACTGGCGTCTAAAAATACTTTGCTGGAATTTTCACACGAATTAAAAGTACCCAAAATAAAATTAAAAACAAATACGAGTGTGCAAGGCGGGGATGGTTGACTAGCAGATACCCTGCAGCTAGCAGCGAGCTGTTAATAGAAGTGAAAGCTGGGAAATGAGTTCTTAAATAACTTCGGTTCCTATTGTCCGATCTTTCTGAAGTTTCCAGGGTATGACAGCCAAATGTGTCCACATACCAAAGCTCAAGATTAGACGTCTAAATGTGTTTTACAATGTAAAGTTTAAGAAGTTTAGGTATTCAAATTGTGAAATATTTAGGATTTTTAAAGACTCAAAGATATGCCACAATACAAATAGAATTTCTCTAGTTCTTATAGGCTAAAAGATATGTTAAGAATGTGTAGTATATAAAAAATGTTTAAAAAAAAGGGATATCAATATCGATATTTATCGATTTCGTGATTGTTATCGATGCTTTGAAATAAGTTTTCGTCTCTAGCTCTTATCGTCTCTGATAACATATAAGATGCATACATAAAAAGATGGATGTGCTTTATGAGGTCAAAGAGTCATTTTTCAGCCTGTTACGTGCACTTGCACAAAACTAATATACCCCATTTAAACATATTCTAGGGTATCTAGAAAGCAAAAACCACACGCACCGAAAATTGAAGAGACGGAAAACCATCAATGGGCCAGACCAAAACAATTAAAAACCGCTGGCGAAAAACTTTGTTGAAATTGAAAATAATCGCCCGAGTGTCCGTGTGTGTGTGTGTCCGTGTGTGAGTGTGTCCCTGTGTGTGTGTTGGCTGTTTATCTATCTCACCTTTACCTTGTGGTGGGTTTGGGTTTCAGTTTCAGTTCAAGTTCAGTGTCTTTCAGCTGGCGCCACGATTAGTTTGACTGCGGTTTCTGCGGGCCACCAACCCGATATGGGGACCAACATATAATAAAATCATAAAATAAAGCTGATATACGAAACATATATAAACATATATATATATGCACTTATTTGGTGCTATCTGAAAAATACGCTTGTGTATATATATATATATATATTAAGTGTTTAACTGATACGCAGAACATTTTGAAATTGTGAGTGGCCGCAATGATATTTAATGGTTTTTTGATTTCGTGAGTTTCATAATTTATATGGCTATTAACATATATAATACGATAAATACAATTAATACTATATATATATATATGTGCTAGATAAAACAGCAGCAAGTGAACTGTTTAAATATTATATTCCGCGCGTATTTGAATTTATATTTTATTTTGTTTGCGAATAAATTACGCATACGCCGCGTGACACGTTCCAAGTGCTCGTTTGGCCGCGGAGTCTATCGCTTTATCAGTGAAGTCGCGTCGATAAATCTTCGTCAAGCTTTATGCATTCCAGCATACATAATTATTTAAATGCGACGCCAGCAAATGCTGCTCTATTAAATGCCTCCATTAGGGGGCGTCTCGCCTTTTTTTCTTTATTGTTTTCCCATTGTGTAAATTTTGCTTGTTTTGGGTTGAAAGTGGCCCTTAAGTGCCTCTGGAGGCGCCTCGGAGCGCCGCATGAATCAATCGACTGTCCCCTGAGACAATTACTCAGTGCCTCGCTATCGGAAGACATAAACAATTTTGGGCTTATAAGAACGGAAGCCGGCAATAAAAAACCGAAAATAACACAATTAATTACTCATAAAATGTTGAACATGTGAAATCTGCACGGATTTCGAACATATTTGTAGCCTCAGCGAAAACTTAAAGCTAGTTGTACGCAATCAAAATTGAATTCAACCTGTAGAATCTTAAGTTAAGCATGAAATGCTTATTTTAAGCAATATTTATTGTGAATCGCAAATTCCTTAATACAAGATTTAAATAAAGTATTCAATCTAAGATATTTTGTGCTTCCCTTGAGAAAAAGTTGTTAACTTAATTCAAGCTATTTTTTCTTTCTGAGTTACATTTGAAAATCATTAAAGATGCATACTATTTATTATTATATTCACCAAAACAAACCTATTTATTGTTCTACTTATTAACTTAAAGCTTGATTTAAGCTCTAACCTAAAGGCTTAAATTTAGCTAAATACTAAATAGAACAATCTATTTTAAAGTCCAGAAAACTTCTTACTAGATCAACCTGTTTAGCTGTTGCAACGATTTATTAGCTTGTTGAGCACCGCAAATGAAAAACAATATTGGGGCTATGCCTTAATCATATATTTCTCGGAATCAATAAATGTCTAGTAAATGCTCTTTGTCTAACATTAGCAACTCTTGGCATTATCTTATCGGGGTCTATGCGATTTATGCGGCACAACATTTCAACTTTTCGATTGTGTTTCTTTGCAGCTGCTGCCTCTCTCTGCGATTCTCACACTCTCTTATTAGTTGTTTAATTTGCGAGCCTCAAATGTTAAGCATATTGTATTTAATACTGTCATCTTTTCTGTCATTTAGCAATAAGACACTACAGTTCAACTGTTCGACTGTTGTTCTTGTCAGTTACTGCCTCTCTCTGCGATTCTCACACTCTCTTATGCTCTCTTACTGCGAACTCCAAGTAGATATGATATTGCAATTCATACACTTCTGCTGTCAGCCAGCTGACATTATCATCTGACATATCGAGGTGGGGGGAATCCTTCAATTAGCATTCCTTTCAGCAATTAAAGTCACACCCATTCGCATAGATTCACGCATGAGTCAGAGAACCGGTTGGGAAACGCTCTGAGGCTATGATCAGCATTATAAATCGATCGATGGCGTATCTGGCGTATATCGCATCTGTTTCTGGTACACACACACGCACTTATGTTCATAGATATATATATATATATATATATATATATATAGTATTTGTATGGGCAATCAGAGCAAACGGTTTGTTGAGCCAAAGCAGAATTTGTTGCATTTATCAGCACACAAAACAAACAATAAATATGCAACACAAAAATTAAACAAATAGATGTGCGAATAAAAACGGGGGAGCCGAACATAAAATATGGCAGCAATTATTATACCGCAGCGCGAGTTTGAAAATTGAAAATCCGGAAAATCGTAAAATCGTTCACGAAATTGCGGGCCATAACTCAATTTTATAGCATCATTTATGCGTTTATATTTTCCCCAATGGCTAATTCGATTTTCACGGGCCAACAACGCGTCCATATTGGGATTGGGCAGAGCTGTCAGATCAAAGGGGTCAAAGGGGTCAAAGGGGCCGAGCTGCTGATATGAGGGCTGCCCATAAAACTGATTTATCATCAAAAGCAGATTTTGTTCAAAGTTTCCTTTTTTTGTTTTTGCATTTTCATTCTACGAAAGTAAGCGGAACGAAAACTATGAGATTTTCGCAACAAATATTATTAAAGATATTTTAAAATCAGGGTGCAAATTAGTTTCAAGTTCAAATAGTTCGAATAGTTGATAAGCTAAACCTTCCACTTAAGATTTAATATGAAAGATTATTATCTGTAGCTTTAAAGTGAAACATACTTGATCTGTTTATATACATATATTATACCCCTTATACTCACTTTCAATGGGTTCAGTGTGTAATGAATTAAATACATTTTAATATCTGATTTTACAGATATTATTTGAAGAAATACGCTAGAAATTAATCTGATTTTTATTTGAAAACAAACAAAAAATATTAAAATAATAAGTCTTAAAGCTACAATTTAAATTTTATATAAATTAAATATTGGGAAAATTGTAAAGAGCTCCAACTAAAGTCTGGCTGCTTTGAGTTGAAAGTTCACGAAGCCAACCCTAAGGCAAGCTAGGAATTACTCAAATATTGGATATGTATTTGCAGCCTTTATTTAAATATTCCACTCGCCTTTTATTGCTAAACAAAATGTCGAATTTTAAAGCAAATTTTTTGCGCTTAAAACTAGCTGTTTTCTCGCCCTAACAAAATTGGCAGCCCAAACGATTAATTATGCTAATTTTAACAAATACTTAAATTGCCGAATTGGCGGGCATTTAATGTCTGTTTGCCCAATGGGCCAATAAATTTGATCATAATTCGAAGGTGCGCGCTGCCCACGTTGCTGTCAATGAGACACACACACGCACGCAGATACCCTACCCCTCAGCCCGGTTCGCTCAGCTGGACAAAAAATGTTTGCTTCGAGCAAATGCAAATATTCGGCGTTCAATGAATTAAGCGAAATTTGACTTTCCTTTATGCAATGGGCCCATAATGGCCATAATCATGTTGCTTCCGATAAGATAATGGGACACAGAGAGGGATAGGGAGAGGGGGGAGGGGGGGGGGGCTAGGGGTTAAGCATTTGTAATGAATTTATTGCGGCACATTAGCCAAAGTCAAGGAGTGGGAGTTATTTTGGCCAATCCAATGGCTGACGCAGTCAACAACATTTGGACAGGATATTGACAGAATGCGGGCACTTAGTGTCAATTTAACACGAACTCATAATGTGTGTGTGTGAGTGTGTGTGTGTGTGTGTGTGTGTTGTTGTGCGTGTGTGTGTGTGCTTTGCAGATGATTAATGCCCCGCGGCGGCAGCGTCAGGAGTTCCGGCGCAACAGGACGCCCATTGACATTGCGTGTGTCTTTGTCCGTCTCATGCCTGTCTCTCCCTCTCTCTCTCTCTCTCTCTCTCACTCTCTATTCCCCTCTCTTCCTCTCTCTCTGTCTATCTGACACACAACATGACCCAGAGGACTTATTGTCCTAATTGCGCCGACTAACTGACGCAATAAATCCACATGTCCTTGTGCCAACCTGTTGGAAATGTTGATAGCAGAACACGCGGAATGCCACAAGTGAGATTCCTTCAACTGACTGAAGAATAATGCCTGTTGCTTAAGCACTATGTTAATTAGATCTATTAAAGTGCACTGAATGCTGAGAGATTTTGGTTGCCAGGGCGATCTTTTTGCCAACTCTAGCGAATTTCTGATATTTCAGCTGCTTTTGCACAGTTTCTAAAACCGGTTTTAGACAAGATTAACCTTGACTTATCTATCAACCATGTACACAACTTAAATTGAGAAGTTTGCTTTGGATGCGTTTTTAAATGCATATCTTAGACACTTTTTTCATATGTCAAACTATTCTGAAACTAGTTTTAAGCAACTTTTAATCAGTAGAAGCTCCTTCTTGCCAAGAAAAAGATGCGATAGCATATTTTTTTCATTTTTTATACCAATCGAAAAGCGGTTTTAAGCAACTTTGTATATCTCTCTAAAAGCGGTTTTAGAATTTAATGCAGCAGCATCTTCTGCTATCCAATTCTAAAACCGTGTTTAATCAGGTTCTCGATTGAATTTCCTCTCACAAAAAAATGCAGCATCAACTTCTGCATTTTGTATACTATTTGAAAAGCGGTTTGAAGCCACTTTTGATTCATTTCTTCCTGCCCACAAAAATATTCCTGTTAATTTCTAATCTAATTCGTTAATCTAAAAGCGGTTTTATAAACATTGAATCGATTTTATTCAGCAGCATCTTCTGCGTTACTACTACTACTATTCTAAAAGCGGTTTAAAGCAACCTTTAATTCATTTAAACTTTTCCTCCGCCCGCAGAGCCCAGAAAAAAATGCAGCAGCATCACAGATCCGGATCGCTTTACTGTGGCGTCACGCTGGTTGGAGTAATACTCCTGGTGCTGCTCCGGCTAATGCCGGGCAGCCCCTTCGGGGTGTACGCGATGGTCGAGGAGGGCAACTATCATGAGCGCAATGGCATACACACAAAGTGCAGTTTCTTCGACACGGTCAACTTGACGGGATATCCCTCGTTCCCTAATGGCAGCTACAGCTACGAGGGCGTGCTGATACCCAGCCACTATGTGGGCACCTTCGACTACATCTACAAGGATCTGGTGGACCGTGTAGATGTGGCGCCGCATATGCGCGGCTGCATCTGCAAGCTGAAGCCCTGCATCAACATCTGCTGTCCCTGGGGTCAGATCTACAACAACAGCGAGTGCCAGAAGGACACCAACACGAGGCAAATGTGGCCAGAGCCAACGATAAATGTGACCCTCCGAAATGGATCCTTGCAGAATGTGAACATCTACGAACAGTTTGTGGTGCAGAGCTTCAGGCCCTGCACTGAAATGTTCTCCCTGCTGCCCGAGGTCAACTACTACGACACCTACCAGCTGTACGAGAACGGGACGCTGCTCCGCGAGGACGACATGCACTACATCTACAAGAACGAGTTCTGCCTGGTGCCCACTAATGTCAACGACACGGATCTCTACTACACCATAAATCCGGCCAACTGCGACATGTTCAACGAGAACACCACGGTGAAGATCATCAATGGATTCGGTAAGTGTAGCCAGAGATTGGCCAAAGATTTGTTGGGATAATACTTATATCAGGCATTAGAGATCAAATAATCCTCAAAACTTATCATATTTCCTTCGGTTTACAGTCGTTAATAAAATTAAACTGAGGTTTCAACCAGTGTGGTTCGAACCCATGCTTGCAGCCCTGATATGTTGTCCTCAACACTCATAATATTTTCTTCGCCTTACAGAAATAATTATATTGTAATTGGGGTTTGAACTAGTGCGGTTCAAACCCTGATTTGTTGTCTTAAACTCTCATAAGTTTATCTTCATTTCGTATTAATAAATAAATTGAAATTGGGTTTGAACCAGCGCGGCTCAAAGCCTGCTTGAAACGTTTATAAATAAATTGAAATTGGGGTTTGAACCAGTGCGGTTCAACCCCTGATTAAAGACCTTATATTCTCTCGTCAACTCTCATGATAGTTTCTTCGATTCGTAGTTATAAATAAATAGTAATTAGGGTTTGAACCAGTGCAGCTCAAACCCTGATTGAAACGTTTATAAATAAATTGAAATTGGGGTTTGAACCAGTGCGGTTCAAACCCTGATTGCAGCCCTGATATTCTATCGTCAACACTCAAAATATTTTCTTCGTTTCGTCGTTATAAATAAATTGAAATTGGGATTTGAACCAGTGCGGCTCAAACCCAGTTTAAAGTCCTCACATTCTATCCTCCACACTCATAATTATTTCTTTGTTTCCTCTCCCCCCAGCTATGCTCTTCTCCATACCCTTCATGCTGCTGACCATTGCCGTATATCTGCTAATTCCGGAGCTGCGCAATCAGCACGGCAAGTCGCTGGTCTGCTATTTGCTGGGCCTGACCATTGGCTACTCGCTGCTGTGCTGCCTGCTGCTGATGCACGACATGAATCCGTTTGGGCTGTCCTGCAAGCTGCTTGGCTATACGGCGTACTTCTTCTTCATGTCCGCCTTCTTCTGGCTGAACGTGATCAGCTTCGATTTGTGGCACAATTTCCGTGGCACACGTGGAATCAATCGGTTCCAGGAGAAGAAACGCTTTCTGCTCTACTCGCTGTACTCGTGGGGCTCGGCTCTGGTCTTTCTCATCTTCACGGTGCTCGTGCAGGAGTATTTCGACTGGCCGGAGGCAATCAAGCCGGGCATTGGTGGCGGCCAGTTCTGCTGGCTGGACATGACCAACTGGTCGGCCATGCTCTACTTCTTCGGGCCCATTCTGGTCATCATCGTGGCCAATACCGTGATGTTTATGATGACTGCGATCAAGATCCACGGCGTGCAGCGTGAGATGGCGAGGATTATAGCCCGCGAGGATAGCACCAAGAATCTGCGCACCGAGAAGGACAAGTAAGAGGAGGATTAGACTTTTAAAAAGATCCACTTTAATATTCTTCCCCTCAGATTCGGTCTGTTTCTGCGCTTGTTTCTGATCATGGGCGTCACCTGGTCCTCGGAGATCATCTCGTACTTTGTGGGCAACGACAAGAAATGGTCGAAGATCTTTTACGTAACCGATTTGTGCAATGCGATGCAAGGCTTTCTCATCTTTATGCTGTTCGTGCTGAAGAAGAAGGTTAAGCACTTGATAACCAACAGGTAAGTCCTCCAATTAGTTCTTCCTATCCCCACCGAAAATTGTACTGTCCCAACTATAGCTATAAGTTCATAATTGTGTAAGTCCTTTTTGTTTTGCCTGTTCGCCTGTATCACGAGTCTGTTCTCAATATGTATTTGACTTGTATCTCACTCGAATTCCCCCCAACCACACCCTTAAACCCCTGAATACCCTTCCAACAATTAGAACGATCCGTGTGCGCAGTCTGCGGCAAACGGAGAGCGTCACATTGGCAGGAAGCAGCTATACGATGCGCCAGCGCTTCATGGATGCCTCCCAACACATACGCAAGCTGGTTGTCATACGCAATGCGTTTGCCAACACTGCCAGCGGAGTGCACTCGCATGCCGTTTAACAGGACTACAACCAAGCAGCAGCAACAACAGCAACAGCAACAGCAACCACAACAAGATTGGCAGCCGCAGTCAGTAAGCGGCGCTCTTCCTCTTCGCTGTTTAGTGTTGTGCAACGTGGCCATACTAAACGCTAAGCCAGCTCTTCCTCTTCGCTCTTCAGTGTTGTGCAACGTGACAATACTAAATGCTAATTTTACTAGAGTAAACGATTCCCCTTAGCTCTTAAACTGTCGCGTGTGTGTGTGTGAGGCGCGTTGCATGCATTTGAGTAAACCTTTAGCACAAACGTTCTCTGTATGTATTTGCGCAGCTGGTATATATGTATATATAAATTATTCTCTTGTATTTTCGTTGTCAGAATGCTTTCGGTAACGCTAACGCTAAAGAACCGCAACAACGACAGCAATAGGCAGCCAAGCTGTAATCCAAACACAAGACACAAGCCCAACACACAAGTCGCAAGCATTAACACTTGAGTGTTGTAAAAGACAAAAACAAAAAAAGAAACTATCTACAAATGAAAGCAACTGCTCAGAGGCTAACACACGTCCAAATAACCAGAGCCTAACGAACAAAAACCGTCCATTAATTGTAGCTAATATAACCATGCATAACCCAACTCCAAGCGATATTTTATACAGCCCATATAAATATATATATATATGTATATATAATGTACCACAAACAATGTTATCCGTAATTTTCGTTCAACAACACGAAGACTCTTGAAGCAAAAGTCGCCCAGCTCGAGTCAATCGAACTCAACCAACTCAACGTCAACGGACATAAATACGCAACAGGACAAGTTAAGAATGAAGTGCTCCTCCGATCCGGCCCGGGGCCAGGCCAACGGGCTGGGGAAGCGGCCGCCCGGTGCTGCCAAGACAATAACAAAAACCTAAAAACCAATTAAATATAAAACTTCAAAAGGTAAAACTTCAACTTAAAAAAGGTAGCTGCTGCCAAAATTGTGATTAACCCACGAACAATTCGAGCCAGTTTCCCAGCCAAAAAGCCGCCCACAAAAATCTAACCCAACTCTCGCTAACAATCTAAATATATATAGTATATATATAATATACGACTGCTAATCGCATGTAAATCAATTCATTTAGTTTTTTACTACGCCAATAACTGCCCGCCCACATTCATTTGCATTTCCAGCTAACACTTCATATTTATCGCCTATCTATTATCTATTATCTGTGTTATCTCTGTCAATTTGTTAGCCAATTTCGATTAATCGGTTTTCCGTGCTTCTCCCCCCTCTCCTCCTCCTCCTTTAGGTGCTCGAGCGGACGGGAGGGCAGCCATCAGCGCCAGAGCCAATATTCCACCAAGACCACGTCCAGCAGCGTCGCCAATCTCTCCATGCACGAGAAGAGCTCCTCGGAGAAGCCGCTCGTCTCCACGCTGGATCAACAACAACAACAACAACAACAACGCACCACCAACTTCCGCTGAGCTTACAGTGGAGCACGAAAGTCGCGCACCAGTTGCGTTTGGCAGGTCTAGTCCTTGGCTGACGTCCTTGCGTCGTGCTTATCGCATCGAATAGCTGGGCGCCCAGTGCCTCCCCCCCTCCCCCCTCCCCCGCACCTCTTGCGCTCATCGCCCAGCAGCCATACTTATTATTATATATCGTAGCATTAAAAAAAAGACACTATATCTATATTATATATCCATATCTGCCTGTATATGTCTTGTGATCCATATCCAACACGATTATCTTTTTATATATATGCATATATATATTTATGTATACGCTTATTTGTTGATCTGATATCTGATTAGTCATGTAAGCGTTGTCATATCTGTTGTCTAACTGAAACTATTTTTATGATGCCCAAGCTTCAGATCTACCCAGAGTTCCATTTTTACAAAAAAAAAAGAAGAAAATACGAAAAAAAAAATGTTAAAGAAAAGCCACAAAATGCGCATTCATAAAAATCGAGAAACGCATACTCACGCACAATATATATGTTTGTATGTATGTACCTTAAAGAAAATACTATTTTATGTCGAGTTTATTATAAAAATAAAAAATAAAGCCAAAGAAATCAAACACTTGACAATTGCATACTCAATATGCCAAGTTCAGCTAACGGTAACTCAATTACACTCCTTTTCTATAAACAAAAAAACGTAATTTGAACAAAAAATAAATAAATTTCAATGCCAGAAAATTGTTCCCAATATTTGAAAACTACGCACGTTTCGCGCCTTACTTGTTACCACTAAAAAGCATGGACAACAACCTGCAAGCGTGCACTCGCTGATTAAAGTGATGGGAACAGTATACAATCAATTAATTTTGACATGCCCTGGCAAGACTTGGTTTAATAAAATATTAGTGAAATAATGTATTCGGTTGCGTATATTGACAGTAAAATTATTATAAAAAGTATGAAAACATAATGCAGTCCTACACATGCTCTGTTCCCATTCTAAACAAGCTGTTTGCAATCGTGCGTGCCTTACAAATAATTTCTCTGTTAAATTTGTTAGCAAAGACAAGCACCTGCATGCGTGCGTTTGCTGAATGTAAAATCATGTATGCAAACCTCCTTATTAGCGATTGGAACAGTAAATAAAGCAGCATTTTCTATGGTTCGATTTTTATCATTCCTTTATTACAACTATTTTGTTACTAAGATAACATTAAATACAAAGTTGTGACAATTAGTTCTTAAAATAGTGCCTAAGTAAACTAAATTCAATTGCTTCAAGTACTTCCCAAGTACGTCTCAAGCATTTTTCAAGTACTTCTCAAATTGTTCCCAGCGCAGCTCAATTATGTTAACGCGCGCACACCATCAACTGTACCCACTGTAAAGCTACGCTAGACAAAGTCAACAACCTGGCGCTGAATGTTAACATAAAAGCTCAACGCTGCGCACACAACTTAAACTTTATTTAAAAGCCAGCTGTTGTTGTTGTGGCCGTTGCTGTTTGTTTCTGGCTTTGTTGTTGCTGTGGTTAGACTACCAACCAAATGAATTTTGAATGAGCCTCGCGTCGACTGAGATTCCGCAGCAAAACAAACACACACACATACACAGAAACACACACACACACAATCGGAATCGGAATCGACTGTGGGCCCTCTGCAGCTGTGGCTGTGCTTGGGCTCTGCTGGCTGACTGGCTAATCGGTTAGTCTGTTTTTTATTCTTGGCCCGGCATGGTGCGTTGACGTTTCTACCGCGGTTTGCCGGTTTCGTTAAGCGAGAAAGTCAACAGCAACAAAATCAACGCATCAAAAAGTTCGCTGCATTCCCCAAACCCCTTTCCCCCCCTCGCGCGCTCGAACCGTACAATTATTGTCGTTGTTGTCGCAATCATATAGCCGTTTTTAGCCGTCGCTGTCGCCGTCAGCGTCGACGCCAGCGTCTGCGTCAGCTTTGTCGCTGTCAGTTTTGATTGTTGTGTGGTGTGTTTATTTGTTTTGGTGTGTGTGTGTGTGTGTGTGTCTGCGCGCGTATAAAAGCCCAAAACTGAGCATCAGCGACAGATATTTTATATCGAAACGATCGCATTTATTTATTTATTTAATTCTCGCGCTGCGCCAACGACGCCGACGCCGCCGCCGCTGCCAGCGTAGCCAACGCTGTCGACGCTGTGACGTCACGCGCACAACATAAAGATTTGAGCCGAAAAGAATTACCACACCTCAGGCAAAATGATTACAGTCAAAACTCTACTGACGAACAGAACGAACAACTTTTAACAGTCAACTAAATTGCAAAGGCTCTCAATAAAATGAATTGGAATAAAGTTTATATTGTAGAAAATCCGGTTTTTTAAACTGTATAAAAATGATTTATTTACTTGATGAGCAACTTTTCTAAAGAAAAAAAGCTACAACTACAACTTAAGCTGTACAACAAAATGGCAGGATATTTAAAAACAATCGAGAATTTAATTATAAAATATCTTATCTTATTTAAAATCAAAAAATAATAAGAAAGAATGTTTGTTCGTTATGACAGCCCACTTTAAAATATGAAATCTAGCTGCGTATATCTCAAAAGACAGGTTTGATAAGAAAATGGTGAGAATTAGTGAGCTGCATACTTTGTCTTTAGCTAGGTTATGTTTTCTATATATTATAATTAACGGTGATTAACGGATTTGAAGCTTGCTGCGAAATGTAACTGCACAAAAAGCTCAGCTCTAGCTTATGCTTGCCTTTTGAGCAGTTATATTTCTAACTGATGCTTTTATTCAAGCAGCAGTGTCAATTCGCCTTAAAGAGCTTTCACTGTAGCAGCTCTTTGCAAACGCAGCGTATTTAATTGAGGAATTAGCGTAAGATCGAGCAAAATGTGGGCGGCGCTCGTGTGGCTCACCATCATTGCCACAACAACAACAACAACAGCTGCAACAACAGCTGCAACAGCAACAACAACCCCCTCTGAAGGGGGGTTTCCCTGCGCCTATGCAGACACGGTTAACATAACGGACGGGCTGCGGCTGAAGGATGGCTCGTACTCGTACGCGGGCGTCCTGGTGCCGCCGGAGCTGATAACCGAATATAGCTTCAAGGTCATAGACGGCGTGGAGTATCGGGCGCCGAAGCATCTGAGGGGCTGCGTTTGCCAGCTGAAGCCGTGCATCACGTTCTGCTGTCCGCCGGATTTGGTGTTCAATGCGCAGAGCTGGAACTGCACCAAGCCGGCGCAGGCGCGACAGATTAGCCACGTGGAGCTGAGCTACAGCAACCGGAGCGTGGCCCAGGTGAAGATCCTCGAGCACTTTGTGGTGCGCACCGAGCTGGGCTGCCACAACAAGTTCGTGGACACCAAGCACGACACCTTCTGGCGGTGGGATCTGCAGGCGAACGGCAGCCTGGTGCGCGACGGACGCCTCTGGAGCACCGACGAGTACTGCTTCACGCCGCTGGAGCACAACAAGGCCTGGGAGCTGACCCCGCTCAACTGCGAGCGCTTCCAGCGCGGCTATCGCGTCTGGATCTATGCCATATGTGAGTGCAGTCCGGCAGTATCTCTTTAATCCCAGCTAATCTTCGTCTCTTGCAGGCAGCATCATTGCCATACTCATCAACATATTCATACTCTCACTCCTGAGCTCCATCAACGAGGCCCGGCGCAGTCATTATGGCCAGCTGATCATCTACTATCTGCTCTCGGCCATAGTTGGCTACTCGCTCCTGGTCTACCTGACCCTGAAGAATCCCATGAGTCTATCCCACGAGGCCTGTCGCAACATAGGTAAGTCAGCAACTGATCTCAACTCTTGTTTTGGGATTCATTTTGTTCCTTTTCCCGCAGGTTTCTTAACCTACTTTTGCATCATGTTGTCCTTCGTCTATTTGGCCATGTTGAGTCTGGACTTTCTGCTGAAGTTCCGCCTGAAACCCGTCAAGACCTGGCTGCGCACCCTGTGCTTCTTTATAGCCCTCGTCTGTGTCATCGCGCTGCGTTTTCTGGTCTCCTTCGCGCAGGACTCCGATCTGCCCAAGCACCTGAAGCCCGGCATTGGCGAGGACTACTGCTGGTTCGATGGTGCGTACAAGTTTCCGGAAAATCTTACTTTATAGAAAGCATATATCATATTTGTACTCCTTGCAAGTTTTTGTCAGGCTTAGCGGAAGAATTCCTCGAAGAATCCTCGAGAAATCCTGTATGCTTTATCCTTTATTTTATTATAGGACACCTAGTCCTTCTATCCGTCTGCCTTTACGCTGGCTTTACTCACAAATCTTAAGCATACTTCAATTCGCTCCTATATATCTTCTTTTCTTTAACCATTATTGCATTAGATAAAAGAGAAAACCTTAATTTAGTTGACCTTAACCTTAGTTGACCTTACGACAAGCCTGTTTTTCCCCCAGGCTTTATAATTATTTTGTATTCCTATATAATATATCAAAATTCAATCAATAGCAGACTACTCTATTATTAAGCTGGCATGAGAAAATATTGGTCAAAAATGAAATACCTTTGTTGGTGTTTATAGAAATGTTAAAGAAACTTTTGATAATTTTAATATACTTTCTACTCAACATATGGACAATATTTAATCAAAACTTGGGCTTCTGTATAATATAGAGCCAATTGTAACAATCGATAGAAAAGTGAATTTATCATAAAAGAATATTATATGTTCCTCTTATCTTGGATATAGTTCCTATATATATCATATAGTTCCTATAAAAATACCTATTAGTTTTCCAAGATATCGTCCTAAAGCTCACCAACTACTAGATTTCTCAAGACCCTATAATTTTAACCTATTAATGTTTAAATAATATTCTGTTAAACGATTGGATTGGATTCCATATAAAATGAGAGAGCATGTATAATTAATATAAAAACTTTACATCACTTAGGTTCCATAGGATCCATGAGATATTGACCCAGATCCGAGTATTATATTCCACAATTAACAAAATCTTCCCAGCTAATGAAATTCTTTGGCGTATATTTGAACTTTGTTTTCTCCAACTAATTGTCTTTGACTTCTCTTTCAGTGCGTCTGTGGGGCATCCTGATCTACTATTATGTGCCGATTGTCCTGCTGCTGATCTTCAGCATCGGCTGCTGCCTGAAGGCTTACTTTGCCATCTTTGAGCTGCCGGCGGATACGCAATATGTCCTCGGCACTGAGCTGCGGATCATGAAAACTCAGTAGGTAGCCCCCCTTTTCAGTAAGCCCAACTCCATGCCCAACTAATTTGGATGCTTTTGCTCCATCCGCCAGCTTCTACGCCTTCTCCGCGTACTTGGTGGGCGTGTTCTCCGTTTGGGTGCGCGAAATGATCGTCTATATACTGGCCCGGGTGCGGGAGCACTTCTTCATCATCGATTTCTGGAGCGGCATTTGCATCCTGGTGCTGGCCGTGGCCGGGTTCTTTCTGCTGCTGGGCAAGAATATGCACGTGAAGACCTGGTGGTCCATCAATGTGTACGTAGAAAGTGAAAGTTCTCTAGGATTGATCTGATTGATAAGCTCCACTTTAATTCACAGCGAATCGAGTCAGACGGATCTGAGCATCATAAACGCACGTGTTTACAAATTCGACGAGAAGGGTGATCTTAAGAATCCAGGTGAGTAGCTGCCCGCCAGGTGTGCCTCTCTCTCTCTATATATATATATATATATTGTTTATTATTCTTCCATGTCTATATCTGCAGATTCACCTTATAGACCGACGGTGACATCACTTTAACTGCCGCCACTTTCTCATATCTGGACGCTGGTGTATTCACGGCTTGTATTCATGATTCATGATTCATGATTCATGATTCATCAGGGTATTTGCTCAGCTTGGTTATGAGTCATTTTCAATGATAGCAAATAATATACGCATTAAGCATTATTAAGACTTGTTATACTTACTTACAATTAACGATTAAACATCGGTTTTTATTCTCGAAATGTTCGAAACTGTGCTTTAGTTTTTGTTTTTAAACTAAACTCAAACTTTATTCACGATATTTTGTAAATATTTTATTATATTCATTTTATTATTATCATTATCATTATTATTATCATTATCATTATTATTATTATTATTATGATTAGTATTATTATTGTTATTATTATTATTATTATAATCATTATTATTATTATTATTATTATTATTATTATTATTATTATTATTATTATTATTATTATTATTATCATTATTATTATTATTATTATTATTATTATTATCCTTATTATTATTATTATTTTTGTTCTATAATTAATATTCTATATTATATACAGGTCTAGGATTCGAACTCGGATCCTTATAGATGTGAACTGTAAGTCTCACTTCCAAATAATACTCCCTACATCTATACAGTTTGAACCAGCAACCTCTTTTTCCCTTGCCTGAAGAATTCGTCTGACTCATCTGCATATTATTAATTTAGTTTATTATTATAATTAGTATATAATACTGCTACGAACTATAAGTCTTCATCTTAGCCGGTTTGAACCAGCAACTTTCCTTATACGCTGCCTGTGTAACTGGATCCCTTTCAATACTCCTCTGCACATTATTTTTATATTTATTATAATAATTTTGTTATATTGTAGCTATAAGCTGTAAGCTTTTCTTTCGAACAGCACTCGCAACGTCCTTGACCTTTGGCCTTGGTCAGTTTGAACCAGTAACTGCCTGAATAACTGAATCACATAGAAAACCCATTAAACACACAACCTCGTCTAGCTTATAAATACTTTAATACCATTTAGTAAGCCATCAAATATCCCATCAGTGAACTCGAAATCAATTCGTATCAATGTCAAATGTGAACATTGAACAGACACATATTAAATATGTGCAGAAATCAGTAGGTCAAACTTGGCCTTTGACTGTTTTTATAATTAACTAACCTTTTTTACTCAGACCCTTTATTAGTTCTGGTAATTTTCTTGCCCAGCCAACATTTAGCATACTAAACCGTAATAAACTGCGGAAGGATTCGCTAGCCCATGAATTATTTGTTTGAACACATTTTCCCGCTGCAAACAGGTGACCAGCCCCCACGCATAACACGGCAGCGAAACAATAATGTAGGAAACACCCCCCATCAAAGTCTATTTGAGGGGGGGAGGGGGCTCAGTGGGGCTCGGATCGGATGGCTGACCAAGTCAAGTGGCACGCGGCAAATGTTCTGTTAATGACGCAATTGAGTGCTGTCCGTCCCGGTCTGTCTCCGTCCGGTTGACGAGCTCACGGCGACGCGGTCTATTATATAGATATAGAGTCTATATCTCATTATGGTACGCCGGCATGTTTATATAGTAGCCGAAGGGGAGAACTCAACGAATTGCGAATACGCTGCGCACAAATGGCAAACAAAGTTTTGAATAGAGGTAAAAGTTAAGGAATTATGGGAAGGGAAAGCTTAGCATAATTGGGAATGACAGTTTTGATTATATTTGAAAGATAACTAACTATGGAAAATAAGGATAGGAAGGATTTAGAAGGAAGATAAAGAAGTACATGAATGTCGTGTTGTGATAGTTCTCCATTCTTCAAATAGTATTATACTATAATAAGTATTAATATATAATTGAGAACTGCTGCGTTGTTTAGCAAAAGCTAAGAAATGATAAGAGCTTCAATAATTATCTTCAATATGTTTACTATTATTATAGATATAAATGATATACTCTATAGAGTTACGAACTTGCAGCTTTATTTTGGCATATATGGCCTTTGGGTTAGAACCAGCGTCCTCACTTTTGAATTTATCTTAAATATGATTTAGTTCAGCTTTCGGCTCTGCCTTTTTTTGAGCAACTGATTCGTTTTGGGCGTCGTTTCAGGGCAACAAAAATTGGCAACCGATTCTAGTTCAAAATAATTATTTAAATTCAGTAGAAGACGATTCTATCAGAGAGCTTTATCGCTGAAAAACGACTTCTTTACTGATTTAATCCTTGGTTCTAGATAAAAGAATAATGGGAAATACCGGATACAAACTGGTTCGAGCTCAATGTAATTATTTCAAATTAGCAGAAGCTGAATCTATTAGAGAGCATTACGACTTCCTAGAGAGGCGTTACGACTTTTATAGAAAATTTACATTTTTGATAACATTCTTCGTTCAAATGAGGCTTCATTTCAAGCTTAAACAAAAATTGAAGTTCCGAACGCGAACCAGTTCCAGTTCAATTGAATTACTCTTAGAAAAAGAAGAAGTTAGCTTTCAGGCGTGTTGAAAAACGAATCTTTTCGTGATCTTTATCTATAAAGTGGACCTCTTTAGATTCGTAACCTGTTGTAGAGTAGTCGCCAGTTCGAATTGCGGCGCCTACAGTGTTTTTTTTTTCGCAGTTTCAGCTGCTTTTTGGTTGTTGTAAACAAATCGCTGCCATAAAGTAACAACAACAACAAGAACAAGAACAAGACTAACCACAGGAAGAAGCACAGTTCCAACAACAACAACAACAACCAAATTTTTGTAGGTGTGTGCAAGCCTAAAAGTTTCATTTCGTTTCGATTCCATGCGACTCGCCTTTTGGGGAAGCAGCCAGCGCAGTTTGAGTTGAACCTGTGCCAGGTGCGGATGAACCATTTCCGGCGGACAGTTCCAATTGATCTCGCATCGAATCGAATCTACGTCATTGTCGGTGCATTGGGTTTATTTCGGTTTTTTGTGTTTTGATTTCTATTTTGGAAACGCTTTTGATTATTTGGCAATTGCCGTGAGATAAACACACAACACACACACACACACACATCGAGTTGGACATAGGAAAATAAACAGTGAATGGACTGGATCGGATCTGAGGTGTGAGCATGTCTTTGGCCATGTCCACGGCGCAGTACTGGCTAATTGGCTGGCTGCTGCTGCTGGTTGGGCGCACGTTCGGCTATCCGGAGGAGGCGCGTCATCCGTGCGCCTTCATCGACACGGCGAACATAACGGGCGGCTACAACATGGGCAGCACCCTGAACGGCTCCTACGTGCACAACTGGACGGTCATACCCAAGGAGCTGGTGACCGCCTACGACTTCGTCATCGAGAACGGGATACGTGTGCCGGCGGCGCGGCATCTGCGCGCCTGCGTCTGCAAGCTGCGAGCCTGCGTGCGCTTCTGCTGCCCCGCCGGACAGCTGTACGAGCTGCAGCGCCGCCGCTGCGTGACTCCGACCGGGGACATGCCGCAGCCACCCGGGCACAGTCACATGACCGTGGAGCTGCACAACGGCTCCCAGCTGAGCCTCGAGCTGGGCGCCCGGTTCAGCGTGCACGTGGAGACGCCCTGCGATCATATGCGCGCCCTCACCAAGGATTCCGTCTACCGCAACTGGACGCTGCACGAGGTGCGACTCCTCCCTATGATGAACTTACTTTAAGTCTTAATTCTTCCCTCCCCTCCCGCCCACACAGAACGGTTCGATTACCCATCGGGAGCATCTGTTCACCAAGCATTACTGCTTCACCCCCCTCCTCATGGGGAACAGCAGCTGGAACTGGCAGCCCCTCGCCTGTGCCCCGGAGAAACTACACTTTGCGCTCGGCGTGCGTGAGTGGACCTATGCAATATGTAGGTTCTATCAAATCATATATCTAACATTTAATTGACCCCCCTCCCTCCCGCCCGACATAATCATAAACACAAATACTAAAGGCGAGTGGCTGGGGGAAAAAAAAAACAGAAAAAAACCGAGTGCCAATAAAAATAATTGTTGGCTTTTCATGAATCGATCCAATATATAATCCCGATCATTAGCCGCATTATTTATAATTGCCAAGAAGACTTCAAGGGAATTACGAATCAGCCGCGTTTCCACTCAAGAGAGGGGAATTATTTACATAAATAAAACGGTTTGTCCTGATTGATTAACAGACTGATTGACTGACTGATTGACTGATTGATTGACTGACTGATTGACTGACTGACTGACGCACAGAACAAACCATTTTTTTTTATGAGTGTAATTGCATTCCAATTAAACTTTCTTAAATCTTTTAACTGAAATACGATCTTGGAGAGATACGACTTTTTGGACTTAAATATCTGTAGAACAGAAAGGTATAAAAAATAATGAAGTTCCTTTTTATTTATGTCAGATTTGGCTAGATTGCCCCTAGTCGGGCAATTTCCACTAGGATCTCTTACTTGTATTTCTGGATTTTAAGTCGGATCTTTATTGTCATAAATATTTTACCATTATAATATATATCTCTCCCTCTCCTCTCCCTCTCTCTCTCTCTCTCTCTCTATCCTTCTCTCTCTATCTAACTTTCTCTATCTTCCCTTTCTCTACCTTCCTCTATCTCTCTCATTTCTCCCTTTCTCGCCCTCTCTCTCTGTCTCTCTCTCTCTCTGTCTTCCTTTCCCTCCTACTCTCCCTTCATCTGTCTCCCACTATCGCCATCTGTTTCTCATTGCAGGCCTGCTGATCTGCATTATATCGATGTTCATCGTGCTGATCGTGCACCTGATGTGCTCAGGTATGCGCAATAGCTTCTACGGCGTGGCGATCAAGGCCTACACGACGTGTGTTATCTTTGGCTACGCTCTGCTGGCACACCTGACCCTGCACGATCCCGCAAATCTGTCGCCGGCTGCGTGCCGCGTTATACGTAAGTGAGATCGTGGAAGAATAAGAAGAATCTGATTGATCGATTGATTGATTGATTGATTGATTTTTTAGCTAGCTTGGCGCTGCTCTTTCTGGTGCTGTCCTTCTACATCCTGAGCTTTATATCGTTTAAGCTTTACGTGAGCTTTCATGGGGTGGTCTTCACGAAGCTCATGTTCTGGCTGATCTTCGGACCGATCGTGCTCATCGCCGTGGGCTGGTCCGTCTTTGTGGGCTTTAGCTATTACGGCGCCAAGCTTGTCTTTGGTGGCGACACCTGTTGGTTCGATCGTGAGTTGTTCGAACAGCTCAGCTGCAGATCGTGAGGACTAATCGTGCCATCTTTTTCTAGCGCGCAACTGGAGCATTATGATCTATTTCTTTGCGCCCATTTTCGTAGCCTGCGCGATCAGCGGCTTCTTCTATTTGCTCACACTGATCCGCATCTGCGACGACCCGGATTTGGATGGAGAGAAGAGCTTTGAGTCCTTGGAGAAGAATCGCTTGAAGTCCTTCTGGAAGTTCTTCACCTACTCGGCGCTCACCTATTTCGTTTGCGTGTGCTCATTTGCTGTCAATTATTATCGCGAGGAGCGTTCGCATTTGAACTACGCCGTTTGCTTCTGCACGGCTTTTCACGGATTTGCGGCGCTTTATGCGCTCATCGGAAAGAACCAACAGATACAGCACTTTCTGCGACGTATCGATGAAAACAAGTGAGTTGTAACAATTCCCATTTTTATCAGATTTATATATTCTATATTTTCTATATATCTCAATTCCTTACAGCGACGAGGACACCTGTGAGAACTCTGTGCCCATGTCCATATACTGAATGTCAGCTTCAAATTGCCGACGCAGTTTGGCAGCCACTGCACAGTTGAGGGGCGCTTTAGTCGCGACACAAACCGCCCGACTGAAGTAGCGTAGCTTTCGCCGCAGCCGTGACACGCACCAAAAGCAGCTTTCGTTTTGTTGTTGTTTAGTTAGAAACTCTTTTCAAATGCCCAACGGGAAATATTAAAAAAATGTTGAAAATTGTTTTGATCAAATAAATAATGCTTGTAAAAATGGTTAATTTTTTGTATTTATTAATAAAAAAATAAATTTAAGGTCTTATTTTTAAGTGTTAAACTAAGTTGTTGATCTTATTCAGATATCCTTTTGCTATCCTTGCTGTTCAGATACTTCAAAAGGCGCTTGAAGAAGAAAATTTAAAATTTTGCTTAAAAAGCATATTTAACTTAAAGCTTAGTATATAAATATATTGCATACACGCAGTTAACACTAACGTGAAATAGAAAAGTGTAGAAAGGAAAACAAGAATTTAAAAACAAGACTTTAAACCGTTTGTTTTGAGAGTTAAGTATATTATATTGTAAAAGTTTACTTAAACATAAATATAATAATTTTGTATATATTATAATAATTTTGCATAAGCGAGAAAGCTCTCAAAAATCGCAGACTGAGCTTTAAGCGAAAAGCTCAGCTAGTTGTAAGATATCTGAAAAGCTTTAAGTGCACATAACTTAAAGCACATTTTTGAAAGTGTGCCTTGATATTAACAAATAAGATATTAGATATGTTATCTAAAGAAATAGGTTGCATAATTTAAAATGTAAACATTTGTAAAATAAATAACATTTAATATCAATTTAGATGCCGGCGCTTTTTATAGCTAAACATGCAACAGATTTCAACAGGATGCCAGAATCAGTGCAGTTGAATTAACCGAGCTTAAAGTGTTTTTCGAGCCAGGACCGATAGCCTCGCCCCGGCCCGGCCCCGCCCCCTTGCACACGTAAACAAACACGAAGACAAATACAAATTTTGTAGCCAGGCTCATTCGCAACGAGAGTTTAGCATCCCGAGCAAACCCCGAAAAGTATACACAATACATAACGTAATTTACACAACAAAAGCAAACTGCCGCTGGCCAGAGCAACTAGCTCGAGAGCTCCACAAAGCCCCCAACTGGAGCGGATCCCCCCTCTCCCCGCCCAGCAACGAGCAGCTGAAGTTGCCACTAAAGTTGCACGTGGAGGAGGGGAACAGGGGACAACGGGAGTTGCTGCGTGGACCGTGGCCGAGAGTTTACAGCTGCCCCACAGCTAGCTATGCAGCCAGCCCCTCCCCCCGTCCCCTGCCTACGCTAAGTCCCCTTAGCTAGCAAGCCCAGCATATAATAAGTGCACGCCGATTTTGTTTGACATCAGAGGTCAATGCCCGCCTGCCAGAGCGAGAGAGTCAGAGAGAGAGTGAGCGAGGGAGCGAGGGAAAGGGAGCCTGCATTCAGTTGCAGCAGCAGCAGCGACGTCGACAGCGACAGCGGCAGCATCCAATCAGCCGCCCACTGACGCTCTGTTTGGCTGTCAAGCGCAAGGAATCAAGTGGAAAGTGAAACGAGAGCGCAACAACAGAATCCCCCCGCCGCCTCCGGCTACCCGCTGCCATCCCTTTGGCCCTATGGCCACGTGGCTGCGCTTTGGTGCTCTTTTGATGTGGCCTCGCCCTCGGCCGCAACCCAACCTCAGCCCCATTCCATTTCGTTTCATCTCCGAGAGGACTTCGGCTCCGATGCTTTTCGGCTGGGCATACAGCAGCAGCGGCGCTCGTGCTGACAGCTGCGCGCTGTGTATACACACACACACAGACACACACGCGCGCGCACGCTGCACACTTGGATCGATAAAACGTAGTAAAAATTCGTAGTATTGGAAGCTGGAAAAGGCGGCAGCATTTGCGGCGCATCTGCATCCCGACAGACCGAAAAGGCAGCGGCATTTTGTTCGTGGCCTGACGTGCGCACTGGAAATTCATGCGAGGTAGGACATGTTTGGCGCGCTTTCACAGTGCATGTGTGTGTGTACGTGTGTGTGTGTGTGTGTGTAGCTTGTGGAGTTGGCGGCCCCGCAAAATGCTGTTTTACAGTTTGAAAGGCAGGCACAGGAGCAGCCGCAGCAGCAGGAGCAGCTCACAGTAACTGCATATCTCTGTGTGTGTGTGTGTGTTTGTGTGTGTCTATGTTTGTGTATGTGTGTGTGTGTGCTGCTGCTTCTAATATTGCCAGCGGTTGGCACAGTACAAGCAAAGACCGCGCCCCGTTTATCAGTTGTTGGAGCACCTGCAGCTGCAGCTCCGCCCGCTGCAGCCTGCGCTCGATGCCATCAGGACATGAAAATTAATTACTAAATGACTTTATGCTTTTTAATGGCTTGCCTCGCAGTTAAAGGATATTAGACAAGCCATTAAGTTGGCCCAGCTAGCCCAGCTCAATGCTAACTGCTCTGCCACGCCCCATTCAACGCCTCGAGTGCCGTTTTGCTGGCTTTGATTGGAAAATTTTTAGCTTGGCTCCTCTCTGCTTTTTTCATTTCGGTCGGTTTGTCAACCGAACATTGACTAGGGAATAGGAGAGGGGCAGCCAGAACCACAGAAGAACTTCAAATTAGAGTGCGGTTCAGTTATAGTTAGTTTTATGGTGATATATTAACATTGGCTTTTATTGTGTAAACGGTGTGCACTTTGATTTCGGTTTGAAAATCTGTTAAGTTCTCAAGGGAATATGCTATCAAGTGTTTACTCTCCACTAGAAGCTTCCTTTTACTTTATCTTGCTTTTGTGCAGCATTCGTAAACGTTCTGCTACGCTAGGTCTCGAGAGCATTAATATTTTCTAGTTTGTATTTTGTGCTGCATTCGTAAACGTTCTGCTTTGCCAGCAAGACACAATCTTGTGAAAGCCTTTCTATTTTCTATTCTTTTTTGTGAAACATTCGTAAACGTGTTTTCCGTTACATTTCTCTTGCGAAAGCCTTTATATTTTATTTTTTCTTGTTTTGTGCTACTTTCGTAAATGTTTTTTATTACCTTACCAAAAGATGCTCCTGCGAGAGCCTTTATTATTTCTGTTTCCTGTCTGCTCTGCTAACAGAAGATACTCTCGTGAGAGCCTTTGTATTTTACTTTCTTTGTTTTGTGCTGCATTCGTAAACGTTTTATACGCTGTTTCATAGCCTGTGTCGAAAGCACAAGCTTTGCTAGCGTAGCGTTTGCTCTGAAAGGAATGATCCCGTTCACATGCCACCGTATCTTCTCTCTCTTCCTCTCTCTTTGCTATCGCATACGTAAGCGTTTTTCAGAGTGTTGTGCTATATAATCGTAATTAGCTGATATTTTACTTGTAAGTGATTGTTATGTGTCACAAAATGTTGCATATGCCACCCTTTGGGAAACAGAACTAGCCGCGTTAATGTAGTCACAGTTCCGCTCGATTTCACATCGTGGGAAGCAGCAGTCCGTGGGTCAAGTCCGTCCGTCAGTCGGTTGTCCCCATTTCCGGTCACATCCATGCCTAATGACTTGTTTAGCACCGTCCGTTGAAGTTTCTAGTGGCTGGGTGATTGAAATGCCGGGCACGCAGCACAAATCAAATGCCATAAATAACTTATAATTAAGCATTTCGAAAAATTTACAACTCAAATAATTTATGTTCCCCAAATGTTCAACGAGCAATTGACCAGAATTCTCTATAACTAAAATATGCGCTGCGACTCTTTATTATTTATGAATTGAGACAACAAAAGCAAACCAAGCGCAGGTTCGAGTTGTCCGTACGTGGGGGACGTGGGCTCAAAGCACACCGGAGAAAATTAAACAACAAATAAGTCAAGATGCGTGTGTGTGTGCGCGTGTTTAATAATAAGTGAAAAAAACAAAGAGCCACAGTGAAGTGACAAGTGGCCCAAGGGGAAACGTGGGGCAATCATAAATTCATTCATGAAAACGCAGCTCGTCTTTTTTTTGTTTTTTTGAATTATTTGTCTTTGTAGCTGATTGAAAACGGGCAACAGTTGACTTAGCCCCCCTCCACACTCCAACAAAAAAAAAAGCGATAGCTCCCCCCGATCCTCTGCTACTCACGCTTTCTAACAGCTTGTATAAAGCCTTCTGATACCCTCTAAAAACGTGCCACTTGTTAGAGTATTAGTGAGCTTTTATGCCAAAAGCTCTCTGTGCTCTAAATAGTGCCGTTGTGCTTTAAGCTTTTGGCTTGCCAGCGTCTGTGTGACGTGTGTGTGAGAGCACACACTCGCACATTGTCTAGGAGCACATATTCTTTAATGCTTTCATTTATTTATTAAACTTTAAAATTTATGGGAATGCTTGGGAAATTATATATAAAAAATATATTAAATAAATATAAATAATAAATACTGTAATTGAAGCTTTAAAACATTTTCAATTATATTTTTTTATTCGATAAATAAGCTTAAGATCTTGGCTCACTAGTAGTATGCCCATTAACATACAAAAATTGTCTATGTTTTACAGGGTATTCAAGCTGTTTTCACCTTTACACTTGTCGCTCTTTCGTGTTTTTTCTCTATTTTTTTCTATTTCAAGTGGTTTCGTCTTTGGCTTCGGCTTGTGGTCGGGTTTGTTTTTGTTTTGATGGGGGGGCTTAGGTTTTGGGCACACACGTGTGCTCCCATTTCTCACCTTCAATGACACCTTACTGTAATAATCATGAAAATTATATATGACTTTGGTTTTCTTTGCGCACAATTTCTTTTCATAAGACATAGATATATATATTTTATTTATTTATTTCTTTTTTAAGTTGCTTATTATTTGTTGTGCTTGCGTGCACGTTTGTCTTCTCATCTGCTGTTGTTGTTTATTTTCAGTTATTTTTTCTCTGTGCAAGTTTTGTCTCGTAGCTTGCTGAAATGTTGCGCTTGTTCAATTCGCGCTACAGAGCTGAGGCGGCTTTCTAACATTCCCACCAGATGGTGGCATATGATCCCAGGAAGACCATCGATTTTTAATTTGTTCGAATGCCAATTGATAGTAGGGATCCGTACGAATTCAAAAAGGTATAACATTTCCAAATCAGACAATATTTACCCGAGATATTCAATAAAAATCACAAAAAAAGTTTTGATTTTCGATGTAACCCCTTACCATTTGGTCGATTTGGGTCAAAATTTAGATATTCATTCTTATAATGTCAATCGATAGTACTGAATCTTACGAGTCCACAATGGTATAAAATTCCAAAATTGGACATTATTTGGCCGAGATATATTCATCAAAAAAGGTTGACTTACAAATGAATCATTGTTTGGTCAACAACTTTTTTTTACCCATCGATTTTTAATTTGTTTGGGAGCAAAATTTTCCTTTTTTGGTTAATCCATTTCTTAAGAAAGCAGCTATTAAAAAGGCTATATAAAATATACATAATACCCTTTCAGACTTCCCCGGGTCAGCAGCTCCTAACTAAAACATGTTCATATTGAATACTGAGGTCAAAATAACAGAGTGTTAAAATGTGAGTGACTTAAGCGGACGAAAAAAACGGGCGCACAGAAAATAAGCAAGCGATCTAAATTCGAGTGAGAACGATGCGCCACTTCTGTTTAGCATACACACCCACACAAACACGTGCAGGCGCAGAGATGAGATAAGCCGTCAGCTGTTCGTGTGTGTGTGCGCTGTCATCTTTTTCTGCTAACGCTCACGCGCTCACGATTCTTCTTGGTGCTGATCGCTGATTGGTCCAATCAATAACAGCTGGCACTGATGTTCTCATCTGGTCGATCGAGTGCTCTTCTTTCTGAGCGCCGTTTTTATGGACCTGCGCAACTTTATTCTTCGTCAGTGTGGCCCTATTAGGCAATAGGGCATGTTATACTGCTGCGATCGATGGACTATTAAGCCTGTTATTATATTGTTGTACCGTTTTGTGGATGTGATGGATAAGCAGATAAGGCACTAGCAAGCAGGTGCACATGCGTACTTGCATATTTTGCGATTCCCTCTGCATACATATGTATGTTTGGGTAAGTGTTTTCGCAATTGATATATACTTATGCTTGTGTATGATTGCTTATGCGTTAGCTACGCCGACTTGATTTTGTTTTAGTTAAACTGCAGCAGTCGAGTAAAGCTGATTTAAATAAAATTATAATTGAAAATTCTCAAGTAAATGCCATCCGTAAATCTAATGGTATACGTTTTCGGACTTATGCAGGTAGGAAGTACTAATAGTCAAACAAAAATCATATTCTTAAGTGTGACATAAATGGAATCAAAATTTGAAGAAGTCATTTCATTGTAATTTTCTTATTGCTTCGCAAAAACTTAGTGAGAGCGAGATGAATAAGAAGATAATGCAAATATACACATACATATGTATGTATGTACATATTTGGCGATTCTCTCCGCATACATATGTTTGGTTGTTTCGCAATTGATATTGATTGTGTATGATTCCTTGTGCATTATCTACCTTTGAACGGCGCTTACTCGAGTTGCTGTGCGCCGACTTTTGTCAACTTTGCGTCTGCGCAACATGATTTTGTTTAGTTAAACGGCAGCAATATTATAAGTGAAAATTCTCAAGTAAATGACATCCGGGTCGGAAGTATTAATTGCCATAAAATAAACTCGTAATCTAAAGTTTAACTAAAATGGAATTAAAATTTGAAATAGTCCATCGTTTTCATAGACTTTCACGAATGTTAAGGTGTTTTTTTATTGTAATTTTCTCCTTACTTCGCTAAAAGTTCTTGAGAGCGCGATAAATAAGAAGACTAAGAAGATAATACACAAGCAATCATATACACATACATACATACATATGCATGTACATACTTGACGATTCTCTCTGCATAACATATATTTGGGTGTGTGTTTTCGCAATTCATATCCACTTATGCTTGCTTGTGCGTTATCTGTGCTCCAACTTTGGCCAGCAGTCGAGTAGTGCTCTTTGCAAATATTATAATAAATTATCCGTATATCAATTGACATGTAAAAAATTCCGCTTCTGAGGTTTGACCAGATAGGGCAACATGGTTACATCAAAGTGGTTGCTAAATTCTTGTCGGTTCTGAAATCAAAATTTCTTAGAGCTCTGTCAATTTTGAAGACTTTCACGAACCCCAAAAGGTATTCCGAGCCCGGACTTAATTAAACCGATATTAAAAGCTTACAAAATACTAATTTATTCCTTTTTTTTGGAATTTTGCAGCTAATGGACAAGAAAACGTTCAATAACGTTGGTCCCTGAATGACCTTGGTTATTTAATGCCATGAACATGATATATCTCAAACAAAATCGTATTCAAATTTGGACCAAATGGCAATGGTTACATGAACGTAGTTGCCAATCTGGGTCGATTCGCAAATCAACATTTTGTAGAATTCTGTCGATTTTAAGGACTCAGGAATCCTTAAAGGTATATCTTTCCAATCTTTCCATCTAAAATGATGTATTTCAGGTTACAAAAACTAATATATTTTTTATTTTGTATTTTTCAGCTTAATATGCCAACGTTCATGAACAACGATTATATATGATTATGTCGTTTTCCGATCGGCGGAATTAAGTCTCTTTAAAATAACATAAACAATATTTCGTCGGCGGACCTGAGCGATATTATGACATAATTCATTTTATATTTTTCAGCCAACTCTGCCACGCCCGTGGACAATATTTAATCAGCAAATGATCGCTATTCATGGTACCTAGTTATATATATATTCCATATCATGGACATAGTCCTAGCCAACCTAAAGGACAAAGTTCTTGCAAAATGCGTAGAAACTGGGTCCAAAATGTGCATGCTTTTCCTTTACAGCCGCCCCAGCAAAATTCCGGCCCCCGGGATGGTTTCTAGTTGACTAATATATCCTAAGTTATACCATACCATTAATAAAGTCCTTGGGAACCTAAAAAATGTGCATTTAAATGGTCCAAAAACATGTATGCTTTTTCTTTCAGCAGCCCTTTTACATTAGCTGCACTTGCAGCTGTTGTTTAACAGCCGGCTTACAGCACTCTTTTTACATGAACTGCTACGTAACAGCACTCATTTTAATTGAGTTACATTCAAAGAACTCGTCGACCTTCTGCGCATTTCTGTTCGCCTGGTATTTTTCGGAAATTTTAGTTATAATTTGGGACCCAGCCGGCGACGGGGGCGCCCCTTTTGGGTATGCAATGCAATTTTTCGACAAATTGTTTGTCGACCTTCTGGGCATTTCTGTTCGCCTGGTATTTTTCGGAAATTTTAGTTATAATTTGGGACCCAGCCGGCGACGAGCGCGCCCCTTTTGGGTATGCAATGAATTTTTTCGAAAAATTGTTTGTCGACCTTCTGGGCATTTCTGTTCGCCTGGTATTTTTGGCAGATTTTAAGAAACATCTTGGAAGCCAGCGGTTTCTATACTCTCACGGGTCAGGTTTCTAAAGATCGCTGATTTTTGAATTTTTTAATAAAAAAACAGGAATTTCTTGTATTATTTTAAATGATTGATTTATTTAATGTTTAAATTTATAAAATTGTGGTTTTTTATGCTAATTTACTTTATTATTTCTCTAAAATGATACAAATCGAGCATAAATTACAATTGTTGCTTATTTGAACTTAAAATAGCTATATTTTGCTCAATTAAAGTCCGGTCATGGACAAATTTGCTTTGCTTTTTCGTGAAGGTCCTTAGAGCTCATTGTAGTCCTTATTTTGTCAGTCTGAAAAGATAAAAACACATTTAAATTAAACATATAAATAATTAAATAAAAAGTTTAAAATAGGCCCTAACTTGGGCATGTCCTTGCAGAATTTCAAAGGACATGGCGCGTTAGGATCGTATAGACCCCCTGCATCGATCTGCATCATAAAAATATGGGGTCATCTAAGAATTATATGACTCGAAATTTGACTTGTACAATTTCTGTCCCGCAACTCACGTGATTGGCCCGAAAACACAAATCCTTAAATATCTACAAAACTACAAGGACGATCTTAATGGAACTTGGCCAGTTGGTAGTCGTGGTCAACACAATTATTTTGACATATGACTCGCCAGGACACGCAAGGATATAGTCGAGTTATAGCTTATTTTCTTCAAACAAAATCGACCGTACAACTTTTTCGTCTGAAGGACTTTCATCCTTTGGGATGTAAATTCTTCAATGGGAGGGTGAGGGCTATCTGCTGGCCAAAGGACATCCCGATAGTCCTTCAAATGACAAAGTTAGCCCGGAATTTTTCGATTTTAGCTTATTTTGCGACTAACCCCTTAGGAATAATTTCGATAAAATTTTTTGTGGAAATCGGGAAATCTTTGAATGCCAATCGATAGTACTACTCACCACGAGCTTAAACAGGTATATCCTTCCTAAAGGATTTGGCCGAGAAATGGCTAATTACAGAAATTGGGTATATATCGGAAACGGCAAGGACGATTTTGTTGTCCTTTAGAAATTTATGGTCCTTCTTAGGTTTGTTTGAAACAGGACTTGTCAGGATTCGCAAGGATCCGACCGAGTTATGGCTTTGTTAATTTGCCCAAGATGCCAATCGATAGTACTGATCCTAACGAGTCCAATATTGACTTTACAAACC